AAAGCAGTCGTTTTCTTTCTTTTTTTCTCTTTTCGTTTTGGCAACAACAGTGGAAGAAGAATGTGTCCTCGTGTTGATATGCAAGAATATGAGCAAAAGCGAAACCTTCTCTTTCTTTCGATTCTTTTCCTGGATGTCTCATATATCTTTCAGAGTGAGTTATTTTGACGTTGAGAGAAAGAGATATATAAATCTGGAAGTGAGGAATGTTTTTATTAAACAAACTTTTATTTTATTTTGTTTTCATATATTTGCTTGTAAAACTTAACCTATCTTAGAAACATTTTAGTGGCAAGTGCATGTTCAAGATAGGATTGAAATATGAAATCATTTTTAAAAGATAAAATGGGAACATTATTTCACTAATTTGGGTAAAATCGCATTCACTTCCAAGTTTTTCCAATTTTTCTGTCCATTTCCACCATATTTTTTCTCGTTTGACGAACTAACCTGTAGCATAATTTGATCCCTACCATTTAAGTTAACTTAAACTACAAATATTTTTAGAAAAACGGGCTTAATGAGATTACGACTACTAATGTTCAACTCCGTAGCCTTGTAATTTTGAACCACTCCAGAAGACAAGGAAACTCCTTGATCAGTGCCCCCATAGGTATTGATTTGTTATGGGAACATGGAGGACTTTGCGACTCGACAGATTTAACGTACATCAGTCACCATTTACTACACGGGGAGTCTTCTTGGTTTGCTGATTCAAAATAAGCGTGGTATTGTAAGGATCATCATAATACCAATAGCCATCTTAGTTTCAATTATTAAACCTTAATTAATCTATAATGGTCACATAAAAGATTCGTTTGGTTTGTTGAATCAAAATAAGCGTGGTATTGTGAGGATCGTTATAATACTTATAGCCGTTTTAGTTTCAATTATTAAGCCTTAATTAATCTATAATGGCGATCTATAATGGCTAGATTAATTTAGTTTGTTGATTCAAAATAAGCGCGGTATTGTGAGGATCGTCATAATACTAACAGCCATCTTAGTTTCAATTATTAAGCCTTAATTAATCAATAATGGCCACATGAAAGATTAATTTAGGTTGCTGATTCAAAATAAGCACGGTATTGTGAAGATCATCATAATACTAACAGCCATCTTAGTTTCAATTATTAAGTCTTAATTAATCTAAAATAGCCACATGAAAGATTCGTTTTTTTATGACTCAAAATATAAGAGCGATATCGAGAGGATTACGGCCGTAGTACTGAAAGCCACCTTGATTGATATTATTGTACTTAATATTATCTAGCAAATATATATATTTTTTCATTCGGTTTAAAAAATTAAATGGTTTATTGACAGTAAAATGATTCTTTCATAATCAAATAATCTCTAAAAAAAATAAAATAATATTTGAAATGTCTCTTTAAACACATCGTATATTTGTTAAAACAATGAAATACATATCTGATAAAAATAATTTGGAAACGTTTTATAGAATGAAAAAAAAAACAATTTAAAGAAAAGTAAAAGGCATCTGAAGACAACGTTTAGCTACTTAGATTTAAGATTAAAAGTAAAAAAAAACTATTAGCAGCAATTTATAAAATTTTTTATCGTCAAAAAATGAAAGTATGTTATTTTATATCGTTTCACATTATTATAAACCAATATCGATAAAAACTACCAGCCAGTTTTCAACAAACAATTATTGATTTTACATTGGAGTGTAATCAGCTTGCCTGTTACAGCAATAAAATACAGGTAAAATTCTCTAAATACTTTTATTGTTAGAGTTTGTAAATTAAAAAGAAACAAAATTTTTTCTCCTATCCTTTCAGAAAGCTCTTTGCTAAAGAATATTAATGAAATGGACGCTTTTAAAATGAAGGCTAAGCTAGGATTGGATTTAGCTCGTTAAAGATACGATGTTTCAAAGAACTCATTACTACTTTCAGAAGTTCTCAAAACACCTTGGGGCTTTTTTAAAGTCTTTACTCAGACAAAGCAATTAAAACGAACATTTTTATCCTGAAGTCCGGAAAGAATTTCTTTTTTCTGTTATTAAATTGGGAGTGTAAGATGAATTTTTAAATTATGAGGTGTTTCAAATAGCAAATTATTGGGATTAGTATTTGTGTTTAAATGGATTTGTTTATGTAATTATTTCACCAATAAATTACATTAGTTTATATGCAACCTATTGAAGGCAAAAAACACAACTAATTTTATCAGTTTAAATTGTAATAAATGGATGATCAAATTTCACGAAACTTTTTTCGTTTTTGGCGAAACTGTTTCCTGGTATATACTCCGAGCAAAACTCATCACTTCTTCGAGGAAACGAACTTCTTTAAAATTAAAGAAATGTTTCGTTATCCTACTTAAAAAAAAACTCCTAACGCCTAATGTATCTAACTTTTTTATGAACCATTTTATCTTGTGCATCATATTGGTAGATCAATGTCACCCAAACAAAACGCAAGAGGGACAGATTAAATAGAGAGAAAAGTTACATGCATGCTCTAAACGGGATTCAAACCCAAGCTCTCCCTGGCACGAAACCAATTTCTTGACCACCATACAGCCTGTCGGCTAGTTACATCACTTTATTTTCAATCATCTAGTCATCATTCTAGTTTCATAATTCTAGTTAACAATCTCCCATTATGCACTGCAATGAGATTCCAAGTTGAGGAAACATTTTCGTCAAGTATTTAAGAATTCGCTTTGTCACAAATCATGTGATATCGCGGCAAAATAATTCTCAAAATTAACGAAATACAGCTCTAGGACTACTAAATCATCGAAAGTGAGAGTTTTCCTTCCGAGAGTGCATCTGTATAAACAGATCTAAGTACTTAAAACGTTTACAAATGTTGTAATTTCAAAAATAACCGTTTTCCATAACTCAGCCCTTTCTCAACTCCCTTACTTTGATGCATAAAAGCAATCTGTGTTTTCAGAAAACAGATAATAAAGTAGCACATTTCCAGAAGCGCTTTTTGGTTTTTAAGTTTAAATCGTAAGAATTTTGAATAAATAATGATATTAAATATACATTGTGCATAAAAAATTTATACTGTAAGCTAGTTGAAAATTCCGTTTCTTTGCAAATGCCAATAACATTTTTCAATGCGCCAGTGAGATAATTGAAAAAGCATTCAATTAGCCAAATTCAAAGAGTTCAACACGAGTTATTAGGTTTATTGGAATCAACTTATATCCATTTAGGCTAGTAAGAAGATAAGCAAAAAATTCCTCAATTCGGCTGAATTTGTTAAGGCTTATTGCATAACAGCTTTTTTAAGGGTATATTTTTAAGCAGCCACAAACTTGTTACTATAAGATTATTAGACATTCACTGTTGCGTAAGGCATTCGATGACGGAAAATAAAAATTTCAATTCTTAACCCTTATCACTTGGCATAGCTTCCAGCTTTCGAAAAAAGTGCGCTCGATTCTCATAGGACGTGGGCCTGGTTGATATTGATAAAATTCTGATTGTTAAGCAGTATTAGGTGATAATAAGCGATTATCAATGAACGATAACAATAATAATGATCAATAAATGATTTTTCTCCCAGTTAACAGTTTGAACAGTATCCTCTATATAATCATTCAACTATTTTGGTAGAACATGTTAAAATAACAATTAAATAAATTGTTTTTTATCCATTTTTTCCAAGAAATTTCTAAAAGTGTAGGTAACATCTACTGTGAATAATTGCAATAATACTTAATAAACCAGCCACCACAACAATAGTGACCTTCCCTCAAATTCAAGTTGAACTATATTACTGAATATGAGAGGGTTTAACTTGTAGGATAATATGTTTTGACATGGTTTGTGTAAAGTTTGCAGCAACTTTGTATGATATTTGGGATCAGAAAGTTCCAAATTTTTTAACTACGTGTATGTGCACATTATTCATAACAAATTTTTTTTATTTTTATTTATTTGTTTTAAAAAAGAATTACTGTTTTTTTATTTACTATTTATTTATTTATTTATTATTTTTTTTCCGCTTTTCTTTTTACTTTTGACAGCTTTTAAAATTATTGCGTATCGGAATGTTTACTAGCAATTTATAATATTGTAAACATTACAATGAATATTTCGGAATATTCCTTGTAATGCCTACAATACACATGTTAAGAAAGTATGCATTTCTCAACATGTGTATTTTTTATATGCTAGATTTCCCTCAGACAAGAATAGTTGGAAGAATTGTTATTAAATAAATTTGAAAAATATTATGATTTAAATTCCAGTTTTCTAATGTGCTGTAACGTAGAAATTTGATTATTATTGAAAATATCAAATATTAAATTATGTATTTAAAAGATAAAAATTTTTATGTAAATAATTTTGATTAAACTCTGTAATAAATACATTTATTTAGAGTCCATCAACTTTAAATATTTATGATGAATAGTCAAATTTTTTTAAAAAAAAATTTAAAATTTTGTGAAAAAATTAAGTTTAGTTAAGCGAAGGGTTTGTAGTGTATTTATTAATTGGTAACCTTAATTAAATGAAGCAAATTAAACCGTATGAGTAGTAGAAAAATCATCCTTCTTGAATGTACAAATATTTAAAACAATGTTATCGGCTCCTTTCGAACGCATACATTACTTATTTTTAATTAAAAATGATATAAAAATATTTTTTTTCGGAAAATAAATTAAATGATACAGTTAGAATAAGAGTAAAAATAAAGAATATAAAAACAGAACTACAGAAGATAAAAAGGTGGATAAAGATGGATGGATGATGATAAAAATTCATTTTTGCAAAAAAAAATAAAATTTGTATTTTTTTAAACCGGTTTCTTTTTAGGATCAAACAGCGTCATCAAAATAAAATAACTAAAACTTATTTTTTAAACAAAGTAATATCGGCACTTAAACTACATACACCTTTTCACTTAAAATGTTTTATTATTCGAACTTCCGCTTTTAAGGGTTAAGTTTTTATAAATAAAGAGAATAGTGCATCATTTTAAATTCAAGGTGTGTAGATTTCTGTCCTAATATGAGGTCAAAGAGGTGAGGGATTCGAAATCTGATCTAAGACAAAACAGGATTCCTAAAACTTGAATCAGCAGAATGCTTGAAAGTATTACCTGTTGGATTTTAATTTCAACATTCGTCGTATTTTCATACTCTGTCATTGTTTATCCAACTAATACGGATAATGGTATGTAAACAGTAATGTGTGTTTTTATAACATTACATATTTTTCATTAAATTCAGCAATATCGGCATATTTCTTTATCTCCGTATATTGTAAAATATTTGTTAGAATTTGGAACACGAGTTTTCCTCAAGTGTGCATTGTTGTATGATAAAAAATATATTGGTTTGCTAGATGATATTCAAAAGCAAACAATGATTGAAAATAAGGAAATGATTGCAGAACTACTTCAGATAGAGAATATTTTGCTCGGAATAGGATGTTATTTCTCTTATTTTGAAATAATACTTTAGACTACGCATGGTATTGCAGAAAATTATGTCGGTATCAAAAATCAATCGCATAGTTGCAAGATGAGTTAATTTCAATATATTTTTGTTTACAAAATATAATTGCAGAATTTTCTTTTCTTTTAATATACTTTTATGATTGGTACATATAGAAAAAAGCTAATATTTTCTGCTTATGTTATAATATTTTCTATAAAAAAATCATTTTTTTCAACATTCTGATTCATCAATCTTAGTATCGTTGTTGAGCAGATATTATTCATACTTGTTATTATTTCATACAAAATGTTAATCGCTTAAATTAAAAAAAATCACTAAATTGTTGAAATAAAAAAGAACACGATTTTTTGAGAAACGGTGGTACTTATGGCGGTTCTTTGAAATTGCCTTCCAATTTGTTAATTTTATTGTTGGAGGAAAAAGGGTATAATAAGAAGATAAATTAAGTTACGGAATAAATCATCTCATTTTGGCCATAGCGTATTGTACAGCAATTGATTACTAAAATTAATTTCACATAATTTGCCCTTTCATCATTAATTAGTTATTATTTTTATTAAACAATTTCTTCAATAATTTTTTAAACCATTTCTTCTTTGTGTACTTAATGCACCCTTCTTAAATTTCGTGCTCAATTGAAAACTTCCATTTTGAAATACTAAGAAGAAAAGTGTTAAATTTTAATGAATTATTTGTAATTAAATTTTTGTTCAGAAACAGTTTTAGTAAATATATTTTGGAAATATAGCATAAATTTATGTTTTACATTTATTTGTTAGCATTTTGAATTGCATTTCAATAGTTTACGAATTTTATGGTATTTACAAATAAAGCAAAAAAAATTAAATTTTTTTATCAGTTTCCCAACAGTTTACATTAGTATAAAAACGTTTACATTTTCCAGAGTATTTTTAAGTAAATGTATATTTTTTTTTTGCTGCAGGATATTGTGAATATGACAATGGTATATTGATACCCGTAAACGACTTTGCATTCGATGTTGAAAAATGTGTAACAATTGAATGTAAACCAGGAGAAATCGTAAAAAGAGGGTGAGTTAATTTTAATTATGTAAAGTACGGAATTAATTAATGATATTTCACTTAGAATTTCTTAAACGCTATAGCTTTTACTGAAAAAAGAATAACAACTCTTAAAATTTCATAAAACGCTTTTTTTTTCATGCTTAATAGCCTACTCTCTATAATGGTGCTTTTAACTATAATTTCTTGAAAAGTTGTTTCAAACTTGCTGTTGTTCCTTATCCTCCAGTTGTCCGACAAAGTCAGACAAGATCCAGCAGGCTGTTGACCCTCAAAAAGTCGATGACAAGAAGTGGAGTAGCGTATAAGTCCTCCTTGGAAAGGCCCAAGCTGTTCGGCTGAGGCCTGCTGGGCTTCGCATTAGACTGCATAAATATTTCTTCCTTCAAAGTACGAGAGACTATTCAAACTTAAGTGTTTAATTGAGTCGAATTTCTGTTCAAGTGAACAATGGTATCGCGGTAAACTTAACATTGTATTAAGTTGCCGCAAACCAGAACCATAATAATTCTTTACCTGCATTCTAACCGGGTATGCAAAACAATATGAAATGTAACTGGTGACTTTAGTACAGTTTTCGTTTATGTCGTTTATGTGGTAACGGTTTACCGGAAATTCTGGTTCTTAAAAATATATTTCTGACTACCACATATTTCGTAAAAAATAAAAAAACCTGTATAGTAAATATTATCGAAACAATGGTTTTAACCCATGGTCTAAGGAATCTTGATAAAATCCGCAAATGTTTCAAATTTTATTACATGTAAGACCATATTTCATTGTTTGTTTTACCAAAATCATTACCAAAGCTCTTCGGTAAAAATTACCGAGCTTTTTGGTGTTCCCGTTAAACCAGAAGCACGGTAAACTTTACCATATTTTGTTAGTTTGACCATGTTTTCTTTTCTTAGTGTGCTTTCACCTATCTGAAGCTTCAAAACACCCCTGTTGATTTAACCCAACCCCAGTTCTCCAAATCTCCTTTAACCACACAGCCATTGTGCGTTTTAGTACATACATAAAATTTTATTTTACATTGTAACATTTATCACATTATTGGTAAATATCGTAACTATGATATGAACTGTCACAAATTTGTAATGCGCATTGCATTATTTTTAATTCTATTTCTACAATCTATTTTTTTCAGTGATGGAACGTAACTATTATTTTTTACTTAGTTCATGTTATTATTTGAAAAATTGACATATAAATTAGATAAAAGTTCCAACTCTTATAGTTTTTCTTATGAAATCTTTATTATTAAAAAAATACTTTTAAATAACACAAAATATGAAAAATATAAATTGCGTCTTATGCAAACTAAGCTATCATCATAAAAAAAATTAGCGTTCTATTACCTTGAAGGCGAGTTAAATTTTTTAAAGCGTGCATGATTCTATCTAAATAAAAATGTTACAATCGTTCTAGATTTCAATTTTTATGATAATAAAATTTTCTAGAAAATAAACCATAATTTTGGTAAAAAAATATACACTAACAAACCGTTGTCTCTGTGTTGAAATTTAAGTAAATTGTTTTAAAAATTTCAAAGATATTTGTTTTTAAGATGTCATTTTAGTTTTGTTTTTCGTTTAGTTTAGTTCACATTTTTATTCTTTTCATGATAAAATGTCGCTTTTCTTTCATTTCAACGAGTTGTTGATATTTTATTAATATGGTCTTCAGAAATAAAAAAAAATGCATTTGCATTTTAATGCTGTATTTCATGACCTGTACAACATATTTCGTTTTCAAACTTACGATTTTGTTCTGCTTTCTACAAAACCTATAACAATTCAATGTCACAGTTTTCCTTGCATATTTTATTATTTAACATTCTATATTTTTTGCACAAAATAACTTTTGATTAAATTAAATGAAGCATATTTTTCAAAGAAAGGTTCTTAAAGTGAAAAAAAATATATTGGAGATTATTTTAGATATGCTTTTTAAACATAGTTTTGCTACAAAATATGATAGTTTGGTAAAACTGGTATTAGCTCGTAATAAAACTAACGCAATTTAAATTTCTTTTTTGAAATTTAATAAATTGAAAAAAAGTTAAAAGAAAATTAATCTAAAATTGAAATTAATCCAATATTTTTCAAAGAATTGTTATTTAATGAAAAAAATTATTTCATTTATGCTTTTTTTATAGAAAAGGAATTTCACTACAAAATAATTAAGATATTTAGATAAAAACAATATCGGCTTTATAACAAGTTATATTTAAAATAATTATTTAAAATTTGAATAAAATACAATAAGTTGAATTAAACTGTAAACTGTATTAATACTACAAAGAAAATTATTACACATTTCTAGAAACATAAATGTGCTGTAACATTTGCCTACAAATTTATATTTTTGTAACATTTGCTACATTGTGCATAGCATTTGCCTACATTTAAGTATAACAAAGAGAAATTTTGTATAGATTTTTTATCCAAATATCTTTTAAAATGAACTGAACTGGCTTTGTTTTGAAAAAAATCTTAGCTTGATCAAATAGTCATGTTCAGAAAATTTATATTCATGTGATTTTTTTTTAATATTTAATTTATGCTCCATTAACACATTTTTTCTTTAAAATTTCATCAGATGTGCTGTGATGGCTGCTCCTTTGCATTTTGGTCTAAATTGTACTCTTGTTCGAGGAAAAGGAATCAGAAACTGCTGCCCTACTATTCCGAAGTGCAAAGTTATTTATAAATTTCCAGGAAATAATTCCTACCCTAAGAATTGGATAATTGAAGACGATGGCACTGCTACCATCATTTATCCTCGACTGATTCCGCAACTTGCTACAACTGAAAGCCCAACCAAAGAAGACGTGACAGTGGAAATCGCAACTGCAGAAGGCATGACCGAGGATGACCTAATCGAGGACGGCAGAACCGAAAAAGGAGCAACTGAAGAAGATTCAACTGATGATGAAGACGATGGCACTGCTGCCATCATTTATGATCGACTGATTGCGCAACTTGTTACAGCTGAAAACACAACCAAAGAAGACGTGATAGTGGAAATCACAACTGCAGAAGGCATAACCGAGGACAACAGAACCAAAAAAGAAGCAACTGAAGAATATTCAACTCATGATGAAGACGATGGCACTGCTGCCATCATTTATCCTCGACTGATTCCGCAACTTGTTACAGCTGAAAACACAACCAAAGAAGACGTGACAGTGGAAATCACAACTGCAGAAGGCATAACCGAGGACAACAGAACCGAAAAAGGCGCAACTGAAGAAGATTCAACTGATGATGAAGACGTTGGCACCGCTGCCATCATTTATCCTCGACTAATTCCGCAACTTGTTACAGCTGAAAATACAACCAAAGAAGACGTGTCAGTGGAAATCACAACTGCAGAAAGCATAACCGAAGATGATCTATTCGAGGACGACAGAACCGAAAAAGGCGATAATGAAGACGATGGCACTGCTGCCATCATTTATCCTCGACTGATTCCGCAACTTGTTACAGCTGAAAACACAACCAAAGAAGTCTTGACAGTGGAAATCACAACTGCAGAAGGCATAACCGAGGACAACAGAACCGAAAAAGGCGCAACTGAAGAAGATTTAACTGATGATGAAGACGTTGGCACCGCTGCCACCATTTATCCTCGCCTAATTCCGCAACTTGTTACAGCTGAAAATACAACCAAAGAAGACGTGACAGAAGAAATCACAACTGCAGAAGGCATAACCGAGGATGATCTATTCGAGAACGACAGAATCGAAAAAGGCGCAACTGATGAAGATTCAACTGATGATGAAGAAACAGCTAACAAAACTATCGATCCTCTTTTGAGTGAAATCAATCGAAAAGCTAGAAACTATCCTCTGTTATAAAAAAAGCTAAAAATACTGAATTTATAGATCAGATGTATCATAACAGGTACATAAAATAATACGAAGTGTTTGAAAAAAAGTCGTTAAAGGTTTTTTTTTGTAAATTTTATTGTTATAAAAAAAGCTAAAAATACTGAATTTATAGATCAGATGTATCATAACAGGTACATAAAATAATACGAAGTGTTTGAAAAAAAGTCGTTAAAGGTTTTTTTTTGTAAATTTTATTGAAAACAAAAAGTGATGAAAATATAATTATTATTCAAAAAGAAATGATTTGATTCAGATTATACAGGATTTCAAAGTTTTTATTTCTCCCCCAATTTTTCATATTTGAAAAAAAGCATAGGAGGCTCCATCCCTGTTCGCTCCGCTCACTTACCCCCGTGATTGCTTCATATTCATTATTGTTTTTCTTTAAAGTTGATAAAAAAGAGCATTTTGTTTATTCAATATATAACTTTTATAACTTTATGTAATCACATTTATTAATATGTTAATCGCAATGAAATAAGAAATATTTGGATTTGAAAAATAACTAACTGTACTTGAAAAAAATAATTAACTTACAGAATTTTCGACACAAGTAATAAATGAGAATTAATATTACTTCATAATAATATATGACGATAATCCTATCTCACATAATTTTTCACATTGAAAACTGCTTTATCTCTCTTCATTGTTTAGGTTTAAAAAATTTTGATACAAATGATCAGATTTATACATGGCTTTAACTAATACATGGCTACAACTTTTACAGTCATTAATTCTCGAACTAATAATTGAATGATAATATTTTTTAATTTCATCGAACACTTTGCTCTCTTGTCAACACATCTTCATAATTTCAAGTCTCATATTTTTCGAACTAACTTGGGAATGTTAATTCTTTTTTATTCCATCATAATTCATGTTCAAGTTTCTGTACACCTTAATAATTTCAAGCTTTCTAAGCTTTATGGTGATTGCAGTTTGCATATCAAAATAAAACGTAATTTAAAGTTGAAATTTATAAAACAGCGGCGACGGCTGTCTATACGATTTTCTATTACAGAGAGAAAATAATAGGTATTTTTAAACTATGTTTTTATTGCACAATTAAAATCTGACAGTCAAATTAAGAAAGAATTTATGAAGTTGAAATTTTTAGAAAAGGACAGACTTCGCGTGATATTTATGCTATGAGATATACTACTAAATCAATTTGCATTCCATTATCCTAATTTATACTATTTTGATAACAGTTTGAATGAATACTGAAAATAATATTCTAGATTTTAAATCCTTCAAGACTTATTGACAGAGTGTAGTATTTCGTAGTTAGTAGATTATTAGGCATAAATATATACTTCTAGCTAATTTGGGAATTTTTTTTATTTAATAGCACATCATTGTAATTAATTGAATCTAACTTTCCATACGAATAGTTTTTATTAAACTTCTTAGTAAATTATAAATTTCGATACATTTCTAAAGAAACATATATGATAATTTTCATTCGTCTTGCGATTGAATTCTAAAAAACATTTACATAAAATCTCATGTTTTCTTAAAGGAATAAAGGCTTTGTTAACACTAGATTTCTCTGATCAAAAATTAGAAACTGTCATATTTTATATTTTTAATTAATTTTTTGTCACATGTTTATGCTTATATTTAATTTTGTGCCATATGTTTAGACGTTGAACTTGATTTAAGCACATGTGTTGATGTTTAATCAAATCCTATTTATCAGATTAAAGAACGAAGGAAGTTATTGAATATGTGATTTAATTTTTAAACGCTAAGCATATGGAAATATCAAAATAATCTCTTTCAAAATAAATATTTAAAATATAGTAGTTTTATCTGTAGCTGCTATTGTGTATGTATTAAAACTTTTACAATTTGTATAATGCCTAAATTACTTAATTTGAATGCTTTTAAATGTGTATGCTTTTAAAATTATTGAATGCTTTTTTATATACTTTTTATTTTCGGAAATTATCTGATTGGACAACGATAAATTAATTCTGTTCATGATAGTGTTTATCACGAATTTAAGAAGCTTAAAACCGGAACATTTTGAAAGCGAAATAATACGTTTTTAACAATAATGAATTTTTGATAAATGAATCTTTGAAAAATTATTATATAATAGATAAAAAAATATTTATAAGAAGAATCAAATAGTGCAATGATGAGTTATATATGTCATCATTGCACTATTTGACCCGTATGTGTGGGTGTATAAAATTTTAAAATAATAATAAGTCATCTCATCAATGTAATTTGTTAAAGAAAGCAAGTTTCTATTTTTTTGTTGTCTTAAAACCGGTTTTTTAAAATAATGTCTCACAACAAAATGGAGGGAACGTATTTTCCCAAACAAAGTAATCATTGTAAAAAGAATTTTCATTTCAATTTTTTTTTTAAAACTTCTTTTCTGTTTTTTTTTTATTCAAATTCTCATCAATTAAAATAACAGCATATTATTTTGTATTTTAGTAGTTTGTATTCTTCCTCAGCATGAAGTTAGAAAGATTAGGGCTTTAAATTTCAAAACGAATTTCGGAAGGCAATATCTATTTCAGAACAAATGATGCATAAAATTGTTATCTGTTGGATTTTTATTGCAGATTTCTTCGCATGTTCTTATTCATATGTGAAAATGATGTATATTAACACGGATAATGGTACGTAATTATTGTTATTTGTTTTTAATTTTTCAACACAGCTCGAAACACAGCTTTCAGAATGGTTTTTAATCTCCATTAAAAGATCTTTGAGAATCACATTTTTTCTCAATGTATTTCATTAAAATATATTTTAGTTCTTTATTTAGATATATATTTATTAATTTGTTGTATCTTTCAAACTTGCTTACAGATGAGGAAAAAGTAATGTCGTTTCATGTAAAAGAAACAGCACGGATAGGATAATTTTGCAGCTTTCTGTATGGCATTTCTAGTAAAAAAAACAACAACTACATGTTCTGGTTATTATTATCAAAATAAACGGTATTTCAACCATTCATTTGGTAATTTTCTGTTTATGTGGAAACGGTTTACTGGAACTTCCGGTTTTCATAATTAAAGTTCCTAATGTCAGGCATTCAGCAAAAAAAAAAAAAAAAAAAGGAAAAAAAAAAAAAAAAAAAAAAAAAAAAGTGAAAAGAAATTTTTTCTGAATGAATGGTTTTTAATGCCATACTCTTAGGTAACTCGTCAAGATTACCAAATTTTAGTACATAGTATAAAATTATATTTTATTGTTATTTTTTTTTCAAAATCATTGCTTAAAGCTGTTCGGTAAAAATTACCGAGCCTTTTGGTGTTTAAATAGAGTCAGAAACACGGCAAATTTTAACACAGTCTGGTAATTTTGACCATATTTTTTTCTCAGTGTGTCAAGAATTCTCAACTTTTTAATTTCAGTTTGAAAACAAACCTAAAACCAAGAAGTATTTAGAACCCATCAACTGTGCCTGGTAGATCTTTTGATGCTGATTTCAGGGAGAAATATTAAACAAATTCTATTGCGTAACATATTTTTTAAAAATTGAAAATTTTGACCATATTTTTTTCTCAGCGTGGAAAGAATTCACAACTTTTTAATTTCAGTTTTAAAACAAACCTAAAACCAAGAAGTACTTAGAACCCATTAGCTGTGCCTGCTAGATATTTGATGCTGATTTCAGGGAGAAATATTCAGCAAATTCTATTTCGTAACATATTTTTTAAAAATTGAAAAATTTGATTTTCAAAGCCACCAATGCATTATTTAATGACTATAACGCAGTGATGAGCATTTAGGGTCAAAAGCTTCCATTTCTGACTAAAACTTGATGTATTTAGGTTAGTCCGTGATGTGAACAAATCTTATAAGTAAGACCATGTGCACTTTTTTAAAAATTTTCTTTTATTTTGATAGATTTTAGTTCAAAACGGCTGTTATTCAAAAAAGAAACTTAAATAATACTATCAGGACGAGTGAGGTATCGTTACTCATGTATTTATTATGCTTAATTGAATGAAACCACAACAAATCGTTAAGATTTTAATTATAAAATGTACACTTTTGTACTCATTGTAAATATCTTAGGCATTTTTGAGAATCTGAGATTGCCATCTAGACACATGTGGAATTGTCTTGATGTGCTTTTTGTATTAAGTCAATAAAATTATATTTTATTCGGTCTAAACTAATAATAGAATTTTTTAATTGTGGTTTTCATAAAATTTTAACTTTAAAAACTGAAACTATAAGCATTTTTCAAACTTTTTCATTCATTAAAAATGACATTAAAGTTAAACATCTTCTATTCGCATTAAAAAAATGTCTAAATTATATACAACTTTAAGCATTTTATTTTACTTTATAATCGTTGTAGAACAGCTGACCCAATTTTGAGTTTACGAATACCAATGTTCAACTCCGTATCCTTGTAATTTTGAACCCAATCCAGAAGACAAAGAAAATACTGGATCACGTATTGGAAGAAATTTGCCTTCGTTTAGGGCTTTTTGATGAAACTTACCCACTTTTGCGTCTTCCGTCTAAGATATTTCACACCTAAGATACACCACGTTGGAACTGTGGTGTTTGTGAGCACGGTTCAGAATTTATATGGAACAGCCATCGCTGGGATTCTCACCAAGGGAAATTCAATGCGAGGAGAAATACTCCAGCATATTCTTAGTTCTTGATAAATTTAAAAGATCTTTTATACAACTAAACTAACTTCAAACAAATAATATCATGTTGATGCAAAAACTCAATTCACCATTTATAACTGGTTCTTGATATATGGCGAAACACGTAAAAAGTAAAATTTAACGCCCAAACACTAGGCGAGGCTCCAAACATTGATTCGCTCGCCTAACGGAACTATTGAGACCGAAATTTCACCCATATTTTCACGACTAAACCTCACCCATATTTTAAGGGTAAGGATCGGTATTCGTCGAAAAAAAGTTATGTTTATTCTGAGAAATTACGTTTTAGTGTCTGACTTCTTAACTGGAAATATGATCTGTACTAGTTAATTAGCATATTTGAGGTCAACCTTTTAAACCATTAAGATTGTGATCACTCAATTAAAAGTTATTCAAGGCGCTCCGTTTTTTTTCCCGCACTTACAAAAGACATTAAATGAAAACTACGTGTCGGATTATTTTTTCATGCATTGGCAACACCGTGAAACCTAAAATAAAATGCAAGCGATTTTTTTCAAAATGGTAAATATTCTAAATGAAGTAAAACGAAGTTATTTTCCTTATTTCGTGCTTGCTTAAGGATTTGTTTTTATTTGCCCAACAGAAATGAAAGTGAGAGTTCAGAGTTAAAAACGAAATGCATTGTGTCCACCTGCATGTCGCTACTTTTGTTCAGCAAAATCTTAGTAAATGGAATATTAAAATCATGCCACATCCTCTTTATAGCACTGTATTTTCTGACTGACGTTGAAAGAGAAACTCCTTTCAGAAATTATAAAAGTAAATCTAACGTAATTTCTGCAGTGTAGAGTTTTTTGAAGCGGCTGCCAAAATGGCCAAATTTGCAATTGCTAGGCTACTCTACTTATGGATTGAGCGATATAATCATTGCATATCATTTAAGGGAAGATATTTAGAAAAATAATAATTTATTTTTTCTTTAAATGTATTTCTTGATTTTTTATGATTTTGCTATTAGTTTTACTTGAGTGTTTTACGTATATAATGCTTAGCCATGTTCGCCTTTCGTATTTAATGCTTAGGCAATGTATACAATGCTTGTTCACACTTCGTATATATACTCTATAACAAAAAAATCGACTCACCAAGAAACAATCATCCTGCTTTGAAATTTCGTATGCATGAATGTTTTGAACAGATCAGACTGGAATGATACCAACTGGGGACGTATAATCTTTAGCGACAAATCCCGCTTCCAACTGTGTCCCGACGATCATCGAAGACGTGTTTGAAGACGCACAGGGCAGAGGGGGATCCTGCCTTCACTACTGCACGCCACACCGGCCCTCAACAAGGCATTATGGTCTGGGGTGTCATTTCCTTTGACAGTCGGACCCCTTTGGTCGTCATTAGAGGTACACTTACTGCACAGCGGTACGTCAACGACATCCTAAGACCTGTTTTGCTACCGTTCCTTTTGCAGCGCCCTGGGCTGGTTTTTCAGCCAGACAATGCCAGACCACATACGGCACGTGTTGCTATGAACTGTCTGCAAGCCTGTCAAACTCTTCCTTGGCCTGCCAGACCACCAGATCGCTCTCCCATCGAGCATGTCTGGGATATGATGGGAAGGCGATTACATCCGGCACGGAATGTTGATGACCTCGTTCGACAATTGGATCGAATTTGGCAGGAAATACAGCAAGAGACCATCCGGGAGCTTTATCGGTCTATGCCACGCCGTGTGGCAGCTTGTATCCAGGCTAGAGGCGGGTCAACACCTTATTGAACTTGTTACTGTAACTCTGAAATAAATTATTCAATTGTTCTGAAATTTTAATCATTTACTATTCTGTACATTGTCTTCCTATCCACCAATTTTCGTTTCAATCAGACAACTCCTTCTTGGTGCGTCGACTTTTTTGTTATAGAGTGTAATTCTTAGGTAGAGTATGCAATGCTTGTTCGCATTTTCTGTAGAATGCTTAGGCAATGTATGCAATGATTGTTTGCACTTTGTACACAATGCCTACTTAATGTGATAAATGTTCTCACCTTGTCATCGATTTTCGATATCGTATCTAATTACGAAATTCCAACTTTGATCATATTAGTATTTGTTAAAATTTGCAATTTGCTTTTTTTTTCACCAAAAACATTAATCAAAAGGTTATTAATATGAATATAATGCAATATGAAAGTTCAAAAAATCATTTTTAAAATATTGATTAATTGGTGTTCGTTGATAAAAGTATACAGGATTTTCTCGGATAAAGTCAAATTTTTTTTCTTGTAGGATATTGTGAATATCTCAATGGACTGTTGATTCCTGTTAATGACTACGCATTTGATGTTGAAAAATGTGAAATAGTTAATTGTGAGCCAGGGAAAATTCGAATAACTGGGTGAGTTAAATTTAATTTAAATTAGAATCACCTTGTACGTTTAATCTAGAATCACCTTTTAGGTGTAAATGCTGATTTTAATTTTTTTTATTTTGTAATTATAATGCGTTTGCTCTTTTTAAAATAAATAATTTAGATATAGACCCCGTTTTTTTACGGAATAACAATTGCTTATTTAATTTTACCATCAATGAAATTTTTAAATTAATAGTGTTGAAACTTTTTTTGATATTCTGAAAAGTCTTCTGAATTATAAAATACACTGTTAAGTACATTATTGACAATAATAAAAAAGCAGTTTCGTGCAAAAATAAAACCACATTGAATTAATATAATTAGTCGAACTTGTTATGTTAAATAAATAATAAAATACAAATAAATTAAAAATATCGTTTTTATGACTTTATGAAGCGCACTCACTTTATTATTTTCTACCTCATATTGTAAAAATTATGAAATTTTGAAAAACTCCTTTAACTACATTAAGCAGTATTTATCACACATATAGTTTTCGAAATTATTATTTTTAAAATTTAGGGAAAGAAAATTATTGAGAAAAAATCATATTTATTTAATTTAATCAAATCTTCCAAAGATTTTAATTCTTTGAAAAGTCTTGATTTCATTTCTCAAAAATTTTTACTCTTGTTTTACTTTAAGTCATAATTTCTACAAAAATTAAGTAAAACCACATTAAGCTAGAATGCATTAGAATATCTGATGGCATGAAATAAACTTAAATTAATAACTAAAGTCGAATGTTCTATCAATTTTAACATTACAATTGTGTTTGCAATATTATTTTTTCATCTATACAAGCCAAAACAATAAGTACCAGTACTGGGCATGTTTTTTTCTAACTAAAATGTATCATAAATTAAGAAAAAAATGCGAAACATGACACAAAGTATTTAATGTATTTTGTATAATGTAAATGCGTGAAGTAAAAAGTCGAATACCCTGAATAGTTTTTATATAATTATTATATTTACTCATATGACTTATTCTTAATGGTTCAAGGTCTTAAACTTAAGAAAGTTAATTAAATAGTGCAGACGTTATTTTAGGTTACTAAATCAGGCACAAAAAATACTTAACCAACGTTAATGCTCGATATGTTTCGGTGCCTGATTTAGTAATTTTACGTGCATGCTATATATATATATATATATCGCCCTGGGCTGGTTNTGAACACCCCCCTTGAAAAAATTCTGCGTATGCCACTGTATATATATATATATATATATATACACCAGAATGTAATGAGTCATACACTCTTAGCGTATTTCGCTCTATTTTGAAAACGTTTTTAGAAAATTGAAAATTTAATGCACACAATTGTAAAAATCATTTATTCAATTCCAATCGTTAATTAAACGTATCGTTATGTAATTAGTCGTATCGTTCTGTAATCAATCGTATCGTTATGTAATTAATCGCATTAATTGTTTATTTTCTTACAATTTGCAGTCTCTCTAAGGTGCAGAAAATAATTTTAGTGTTTAGTTTGGCGCACGTCTAACTCTATGCAAAATCTTTTTAATGACATAAAAATGATAACACCTTTAATTTATTTAAAATATTTTTGAGTGAAATAAACAGAAAATATTAATATAACTCATTCTGTTTTTTTAAATATATATATATATATATATAAGTTCAAAATGAAGAATAAAACAAAGAAAAATTATAGACATATGAAAAAAAGGGGGTGGGAAATAATAAGTAAAAAAAAACAACAAACATTTTATTTAAAAAAAAAAAAAAAAAAAAAANAAAAAAAAAAAAAAAAGGGATGAAATTTCATTAAAAAACCCAGAAAAAAAGATATAATCTTTTCATCAGCCCACACGATTATATCCGCAAAACAGAGTGCTTTCTGATCTTGTATCAATAAAGCCAAAGCAAAATACATTAATACAATAGTGTGAGGAGCACTCAAAAACTTTTTTTTATAAAAATTACAACAAATAAAATAGAACACAAAAAGTAAAAATAAGTAAAAATAACATGTAAAAACAGAAAATAAAATAATATAAAAAGAAAAAACTGTATAAAAATGGACTATTAAAGCGTGTAGCGAAATCAGATCAACTTACATGAACGAGAAATTTTTCAAGAATGATTTAAAAATGTTTTCGCAGAAAGATTGCCAGATTACAAAATATGAAAACAAAAGCGCGAATTGAGTGTAACAAGAGGGTTTTAAAGTGTCGTTCTTACTGCACTGCTGAAGTGATTTGTTATTCTGTGCATTGATTTGTTAGTTACCAAGGATGGACCCGAAATGGATGTGCGCAAGGTAATATTATACTGGATAATTTTGAGAATTGACCGTAAATAGTTTTAGAAAACAGATGTTAATTTAAGAAAAAATATAAAATAGAAAAGCGAAACATAAATTGCCTGTTTTGCAAATAATTTTAGACACGGATTTGCACGAAATGGATTAGCACATGGAAAAATTATATAAATTATCAAAGAAAAATTTAAATAGATAATTTTAACACGGATTTGCCCGAAATGGAATTGCACATTAAAAAATTAGCAAAGAAAAAAGTTTTAGTAGATAATTTTAGCCACGGATTTGCCCGAAATGGATTTATGGATTTGCACATGGAAAAATTGTATAAATTAATAACGAAATTTTTAGCAAACAAGTTTACCCACGGATTTGACGAAATGGATTTGCACATGGAAAAATTGTATAGATTAACAAAGGAAATTATTTAGTAAAGGAATTTTCAGCAAATAATTTTAACCACGGATTTGCCCGAAATGAATTTGTACATGGAAAAATTATACAAATTATCAAAGAAATTATTTAGTAAATAATTTTGGCAATGGATTTACCCAAAATGGATTTGCATATGGGAAAATTATAAAAATTAACAAAAAAAATGTTTAGTAAATATATCTACAAAAATATACGATTAATTCAATGATTTTATATAAAATTTTATTACTTTAGTTGGGTATCTATTGTTTTTNATATATATATATATATATATTCATTTCTTTTTTTTATCAGATGTGCTCCAGTGTTTTTCAGACCAAAACATCCCAGTATAAGTTGTACACTTGTTCGAGGAAAAGGCATCTTTGAGTGCTGTCCCACATTTCCTAAATGCAAAGTTATTGGGCCATTACCAGAAAATTACTCTTTCCCGAAGCATTGGATCATGGAAGACTATGGCAACTTCACACAGGTTCCTTCAAACGAGGACACATCGGAAAAAAACGAACACAAAGAAGACTTAGCTGAAAAAAATGATTATGAAGAAGATTCAGCTGAAGAAGACACATTCAAAAATGATTACGAAGGAGATTCAGCTGAAGAAGACACATTCGAATACGATGGCGAAGAAGATTCAGTTGAAGAGGACAAAAAATTCGAAAACGATGACGAAGAAGATTCAGAAGAAGAGGACGAAAAATTCGAAAACGATTACGAAGAAGTTTCAGGTGAACCTGACAAATTTGAAAAATCTGCACCTGAAAAATATAGAGCTGAAAAATACGATTTCGCAGAATACACAACTGAAGAAGTTACAACACAGGACGACGCTACTGAAAAAACACAGGATCCACTTTTGAGCGAAATTAATCGATATGCAAGGAACTATCCGATCTCGTAAAAACTATATTTGCGACATATACAACCTCAAACATTGTAAATTAATTGCTTTGTACATATAGATAGAGGCGGAATATTATTTAACGTTCCGCCTCTGTAGAACAGTTCGTACAAATATTGTTTATAATCTATTTAAATGAGGAGGGGAAGAACAAATACAGATTCCATCTAATATAATAGTTGTAGGTTGTAGTTAAGAGGAATTTCCCCATAGCAGTCTTTCACATTTAAACTAAGAGAAGACTTTAAAATTGCGGCTGATGAAAATAAAAAGGAAAACTAGCTTGGCTCACTTCTTTAATATCGAACAGAGTGGAAGAGAGAACACAGAAATGGTGGAAAAATTACAATCAAGTGATATCATTACTACAAAGAAAAAAAAACGTTTAGCAAATGGGCGTAGGGAAATTACAATAAAGCTATGTAATTTATTTTACCGTTGTTTTCTAAGCCTAACCTTATCGGTTCTTTCTTTTTTTTTTTTTAAAGCTATGTAATTTATTTTACTATTGTTTTCTAAGCCTAGTCCTATCGGTTATTTCTTTCTTGTTGTAACTTGCTTGCGTTTCTCGTTTTCATTTTGCTTTTAAAAATTGAAAAAGGTGCCTCATTATAATATCAAAACCGCTGTACGTTTTTTCATATGGCTTTATTTACGCACGTTCCACGCTATTTAAATTTTATTCGTGCTTGGTGATAAAGAGAGTGAGGGGCGCTTTAGTCGGGATGTCAAGAGTAGTGTCACAAATTGTCTCCTGCATTTACATATAGAGTTGTAGTCATCAAATATACATCTGACTTCTAGTGAAATGGCTTCACTGCGCAACTGTTTAGGCTAAATTGACATTTGATCACTCGGTGCTGGCTTAAATAAGTTTTTGAGAGGCATTGCAAGAATTATATTAGAATTAGAGCAATAATTAATATTAGAGTAATATGGGGTACTAATATTAGAGAATTAACGTTAGAGTTAGAGCACACGATGTATTTTTTTAATATGCAGGGTTGCTTATAAAAACTTATATTTAGTAGTCCTTTGTATAAATAGATTGTTTTTAGAATATTGTCAATCTAATAATATTGTGGCTTTGTAGTTCGTTTTTAAACATTTTTTAAACGTTTATACATTCATAATTCGTCAAATTTAAAAGCTTAAAAGTTATATAGTTGCAAAAATAATTCAAGATATATTTCAAAACAAAAAGGAAAGTGATGTATATTATAAAAATCAACCAGATTCAAATTTTAGATTAGATCTTTATTTCCATTAAAAAACAAGTTGTGCAGTGATTTAGCCTATTTCTAATTAGGATTTTCTTTAAAATTATTGGCCTGCATCCCAGAGCCCAAGGTCAAGGAAACTGAGATGAACACAGTAGGTCTTAGCCTTCTTTAGGCTGTCGTGTCACTGAGCTTAGTTTAAAATTATTGGAGTGTTTTAACCACCTCATGAAATACTTGTACACAGAAAAAGTTTAGTTCTATTAAGTATCTAAAGATTCGGAGTATTAATAGCAGGAAATATTAGAAGATAAAGCGAAGTCTTTCTTAGCCTGCATGAGGAGGATTGCACAGGGAGTATAGATGGAAATAATACAGGAGTGTAATTAGAAAAATATTGGCAGGTAAAGCAAAGCCTCTCCTAATTTGCATGGGTACACCATATATAGAAACGTAATAGCAAGAAATATTGGCAGATAAAGCAAAGCCTTTTTTAAACTGCATGGGTTATTACCATGAAATAGTGGTAGATAAAAATAAAGCCTCGCCTAAACTTCATCGTCATCACTTTATATAGGCTGTTATAATACGAAGCATTTGCATTGAGCCTTTCCTCATTGAGAAAACCGGTAAAATAGGAAAACAACGGATGGGGTTCAGTGCACGATAATCAGCAGGAGACGAGCTTTCTAAAAAGCTAAAATGTTTGAATTTTCCAAATTTGCTAACATAGTAATTAAACAGCTACCAATATTGTTGCCTTTGAGGTTTAAACATTTAAAAAAATATATTTATATGGTAGACTTAAAATTATTCAATTATTGTTTTTTAAGTATACTAATTTAAAGCAGGTAAAATATTATGAACAATGAATTTATTATATTAGATAATAAAATGCAAATACTTATGGATCCTCGAATTTATTATATTTAATTTAGAGAAACGTGGTTACAAAATTTCACATATTACACATGTTACAAAATTTCACAAAATTTCATATATTTATATGGTAGACTTAAAATTATTCAATTATTGTTTTTTAAGTATACTAATTTAAAGCAGGTAAATTATTATGAACAATGAATTTATTATATTAGATAATAAAATGCAAATACTTATGGATCCTCGAATTTATTATATTAAATTTAGAGAAACGTGGCTACAAAATTTTACCAAGTGCTCTAAGCTTTTGATTTTTCTAATTTGATTAAATAGATGATGAAATTGCGGCAAAAATTATTCATCTCAAATTTTTAACCAAATATCGTTACAGATAATCTTTGAAATGTGCGCCAGTTTTTCTCGTTTAAAAAGTATAACTCCAGCGCATTTCAACGTTTTACCTGCGCTCAACCCTTTATGAAATGTTATTTAGATTGATCAGAATTGTTCGTTTAAATAGGATTTCTAGAATGCGGATGTAAATTAAATGCAAGTCCCATTTGATATTTCATCAACAAGCAATAGATTAGTTGGTGTGAGAATAGGGCATCTGATTTGTTAGTACACGCAAAGGTGAGTAGCGTTTCTGAACAGTACCAGTTTTCCTGATTATTTAACCAAGAAACATTGTTTTGAATACAATCTGTCAATTGAACAATTGTACATTTTCCGCATTTCCTGTGTTACTTGAATCATTTTCGAAGCCAGCTTGATCCCCTTTCTTAATTAGTTCATTTATTAATTTTGCAAGACTTATGTTTATTGAATACCTTTATTGATTGTTATAATAGCTAGCTCCTTCCATTTTTCAAAACATTTTAACTATCTTATTTTCAATATAACTGTCATAAAAGTGCCTATTTTTTATTCAAAAAAATTATCTAAAAAAAAGTGTATGTAGAAAATATATATTCATTTTTAATTTTTAGAATTCTTTTTAGCTTGAAATTCTGAACTCTATACATACTCCGTATGTCCATGTAACTCTGACTCCCTAATGTACACAATATTAAAAAATATTTTATCACAAAACACAAAAGACGTGTATTCACATAGAGCATAAGTAGCTGAGCTAAGAGTACGGAGTATAAATCACAAATATATATATTTGGATAGCGCTGATATCTAGTTTAAAATAAACTATCTCCAGTTGCAATAAAAAGAGTTTGGTGCAGCCATCTAGTGTGTAAAATAAGAAATTTAAAAAAATACCAAGCACAAGAGATGGATATGCCTTTTTGGGGCATTACATTTGAACGCTGTAGCCCGGAAATATCACGGACACGAGAAAGAGGAGATGAAAGCTCGCTTCATGATTTTGACGGGAGATTGAGGAAAGGGGTTAGGGGATTTATATTTCCTGATCTTTCATAACACTCAACATTTTATTCCTTAAAAAAATAACTAAAAATACTCATTTTTGAATAATAAATAATAATAATAGTTTTATAAAAGTCTTAGAGGGTTATTTTCATTGTTATGTAAAAAAATAGAGTTTTAGAAAAAAAAATGGTTTTCACTAATTTTTAAATAAGATTAATGAATTAAATTAGGCCTTTGTCATTATGATCTTGAGTCAAAATACTTTTATAATTCGGGTAAAAACTTATACATTATATCTATCCCGATTTAAGTTACAGCGCAAAACTGTAAAGAAATTGTTCTACTACGCATTATTTTCTTATCGATAACATGAAGAAAACCGCTTAGAAGCCTGCAGCTGAAAGTTCGGCGAAAGATTCGGTATTGTTGATGAGGAAATCTATCTCATCATTTTATGCCAGTTTTATTAACCGCATCTAAATAACTTTAACGCAGTACATCTTTTATTAACTATTTTTAGTGATTTAATATTTTTTGAACATATTTATTCAGACAGATTCAAGAAAATATTAAAAGAGATAGTAAATTTTTGTTACTCTATGAATATGACATATATAACTACTATAAACTGTAACATAGACATTAGCATTATACAGAATGCATTCCATTATCTAAACCCTGTTCCTGGTGAACGTGAAGGGGGGCATTATCTTGCTGATAAATCTTTTGAACGTGGTCACCAAATCTCGGTAAAAATGATTTTGTAAATAGGTTTACATCATTTATTGATAATTGGTAGCCTTAATGCGACTTGTGAAAAAAATCAGGCTAAATTTACCATCGCAACCGATGCTTTTCCACACTATTTATAAGTTTCTATTTTGACTTCGTTTGTGGAAGATTGCTTTTTCTTGTTTTATTTATTATCTACTTATCCACGTGACAACTATCCATAAGCAAAACAGAGTATAATAGCCCAAATATCATCAAATGTAGAAAGACCAGAAGTGACACGTCATATTTTTAAATGAGAAAACATTTAGCAACATTTTGTAATTTTTCTGCTCATTTTGATAATGAAGTTTACTAGAAATTCTTATCTTCAAAATTGTAGTTCTTATAACCACTCATTTAGTAAAAAATATAAACTTGAAAATTAAACTTAACTGAATAAATAGGTTTTTATCCATACTTTAAAATATTGATACAATTATAAATTTTTTCCATCTCTTACCAAATTTTATCACACATTATAAAGCCATGCTTTATTGTTAATTTTACGAAAATCAATACCAATGCATAAAGGTAAGACTTACCTAGCTTTTTAGGGTTCTTATTGAGCCAGAAACGTGGTCAATTTTACCATATTCTGGTAGTTTTGATCATACTTTCTTAGAATATTATTTTGTTTAAATTTCACCTTAGAAATTTAAAAAAGTGCAACTATGATAAAATTAATAATTCTTTTAACAATTGTAACAGTTTTTTCTAAAAACATAAACTTATATTTCTTCTAAAGTAAAATAGTATCAGCTACATATGTGCGTTGCTTATCAATTTCTATAAAAAGAAAAAAAAATCAATTGCTATAAAAAGTAAAAAGAAATTTATATAGAAATTTTTTAAGAGTTATTAAAAAATATGAACTGTTTTTCAAGAAATAAATTAGAAAATTTATGGAAGTCATAGGTGAAGATGTAAATAATAAATTCTGATATACCAGCTATAATTACTGTCACGAATTGTAACCTTAATTGTAGATCTGTATGACCTACAATTTAAGGTTAAGACCTGAAAGCGGTATCATTTTCTCTTGTTTTTGTTTCTGAATTGCACTCCACCCCCGAATTCAGCGTCACCAAATAGAGGAATGGATCAGTTTCCCTATCAGGGTATTTTTAATTTCGAGATATTCAGATGTGGTTTAAAACATATAAAAAAGTGTAATTATGGGTTACGTATAAAAAAGTGCATGTAAGATATGTGCTACTGAAATAGTTTCTATTAGATTTATGGTCTCCTCTCTCCGTTTAATAATTTCCACCCATTTAAGATATGTGCTGTAGTTACAGCACTTTCCATCTAAAAGGTTTTCTTTAAACACGTCATTAATATTTCTCACACCTTTGACCCGCCATAATGTCATAATAGGTATGCATAAACAATTTTATGAACCGAGAAAATAGCATTATTTCTATGCCCTTTCTCTAATTTACTTTATTATTATTTTTTTGACAAAATTCCACTTTTACGAAAATTTTCAATTTAAAAAAAAAATATTGAAAATGACTTTCTCCATATTGTAGATATTGTTCCTTTAATGAGGCTTAAAGAGAGTTTCTCTCCATTCCATTTGGAAAGAGCTCACTTTGAGGTTATTTTTCTGAGAAATCACTGTATCTATGCTCAAAAACTTTTTTAATTCACTCTACAAAAAGCACTTTAAAATGGAATTCTTTAAAATTCAGGAGATTAATTTTGAAATGTGAAAATGTTTGGTTACTAATTGACTTCATCAAAATAGAAAATCAATGAAAGGTAGAATAATGAAAATAGAATTTTTTTTTAAAATTTTGAAATGTTTAAATTTTCTTCTATGTTTTTATGCAACATTGCTGAAAAATTTTCAAAAAGTCAAAAAAGCAAAAAAAAACAAAAAAACAATTGCTTGAATCGTTCAATCATTTTACAGTACTTCGAAGTAAATTTTTTGTTTAAATTCCATAAAATTAAATTTAATAAGTTCCAGAAATATTTTGAAAAATTTTACTTCGTTAAAATTAAAACTCAATCGGCGTCAAAAAATTAAATTAATAAGAATGAAAGGATGTAAATGTATGCACCATTTTTCGGACAAATAAATAAATTCTCATCAAATAAATTTGAATTTATTACTCAACGAGAATGTTTTGAAACTGAAATGTTTAAAATTCGGAAAATTTTACTTCAATAAATAACATATTTTAAATAAAATTGCAGAAAAAAAATAAATTGCTTTCTTTAAAAAAATTTGTCTTCAAACGTAAAAAAAAATCAATTTCTCAAATCATATGTGAAATTAATAAGTGACAAAGCATGAATCAAAACATATTTTTCTGAAAAATATTTTATAGTGATCAACCTGTTTTTGTTTTATTGCTAATTTTACCTAAATCATTACCAAAGTGCTTCGATAAAAAATTACATAGCATTTTGGTGTTCTTTAAGAAACGAGAAACATGGTAGATTTTACCACATTCTTATAGTTTTGAACATATTTTTTTCTCAATGTTTGGCGGGATAAGTTTATGGCATACAATTTGAATCAGTGGCGAAATTGAAGATTGCCATCATTGAAACTTGGAGCTATATTAAGCTACTGATTTACAGATGTTAGTAAATGATATTATAAGTATAGCAGATATATTGGCTAATAATAGAAGCGGCATTATTTCGGTAGGATACTTTTTCTCTCCTTTTTCTTGATTTTAAATTTTTCCCTAACCATGTTTTTCAGGAAGAGGTTTTTCCATTTAAATATGTGTTTGTATATTAACATATATATGTGTTTGTATATTCAGAAACATACTGTAGAAACATAGAATTCATTCCTTTCTTCAGAAATATACTGGCTTTCAGAAACATACTTTAGAAGCATAGAATTCATTACTTTCTTCATAAACATACTGCCTTTCAGAAACATACTTTAGAAACATAGAATTCATTCCTTGCTTCAAAAACAGACTGGAGCTCAGAAACATACTCTAGAAACATAGAATCATTCCCTTCTTCATAAACATATTGTCGTTCAAAAATATACTTTAGAAACACAGAATTCATTCTTTTTTTCAGAAGCATACTTTAGAAACATAGAATTCATTTCTTTTTTCAGAAATATACTGGATTTCAGAAACATACTTTAGAAACATAGAATTCATTACTTTCTTCATAAACATACTGCCTTTCAGAAACATACTTTAGAAACATAGAATTCATTCCTTGCTTCAAAAACAGACTGGAGCTCAGAAGCATACTCTAGAAACATAGAATCATTCCCTTCTTCATAAACATATTGTCGTTCAGAAATATACTTTAGAAACATAGAATTCATTCTTTTTTTCAGAAGCATACTAGCATTCACGAACATACTTTAGAAACATAGAATTCATTTCTTTCTTCAGAAACATATTGGCTATTAGAAACATACTTTAGAAACGTAGAATTCGTTTCTTTCTCCATAAACATACTTTATAAGTTTATTACAAGAGATTCCTATTTTTAAGTTTCGGGTAACAATAAAAATTTTATTTTCTTCTTGACTACTACAAGCAGATTAGAAAATAGTGGAATTGGCAATTAGAATCAAAAACGGAATTAAACTTCAATTCAATTATTTGCTGACTTACTAAAGAGCTCAAATGTTGACAGAAATTTTTTTCCAGATATAAAAAAAGAAAAAAGAAAAAAAAAAGATTTCAATAATCTTATGACTGCGACAAGTAGAAATCTGCCTCTTATCACCCAAATTTTTTATCATTGAGGAAAACTTTAATCACACAGAATTAACCGAAAAAATTAAAAAAGTTAATTTTAATATAGACAAAAAAAAAGGAGGAAACAATTGCACTCTTATATTTTTCACACTTCAAAAGAAAGGTTTTGAAATACATTTCTATCACCAAACAATTGTTTCTTCCCATTTTTACAAAATTTCTGATGTGGTTGACTTTTAAAACGACAAATTTTTTTCTTCTTCCCTTTAGCTTTTTTAAAAATACCAGCACTGTAATTTTTTTATTAAATTTATTTTAACTAATTATAAATCTTGTTTCGTTTCTGAAACGAGAGAAAGGAAAAATTAATTAAACATCAAGAGCTTTAATATAAATATTATTTGACTCTTCCTAAAAATACCGTAAAAATGTCTCGATGGAAAAATATATCTCGAATCTTGTAATTACCAAATTTAAACTTCCAAGGTCCTGACTACGACTGAACTTAAATTTTCTCTGATTCATTGTAGCACTGTTCACAGAAATTAAAATTAATTGAGGAAGTCCTTTAATCTTTTCCGATAAGATAGAAGAAAGAAAAAAGTTGTGGAAGCCATACTTAGTATTTCCTGCTTTAGTTAAGCTAAATCTCTTTTTAACAATAATCAATAAACAAGAAGGAATTATTTTGTTTGAATATCCACTAATTTAATGTATAGAGAACTTTTATTGTATTACTATTAAATATACATGTAGAAAACTATATATTTTTTGCTTTGTGTTCTTTATAGAATTTATTCCTAATCAGTTAAATAAAGATTGGACTAAAATGAAACGAATATTAATTTTTATTGCTGTTTCAGTATTTTTTTCGCCAACTTTAGTTCGTAGTAATTTTCAAGTTACGCAGCTAGATACTAGCAATGGTAAGTACTTTATAATTAAAAATCAATTAAACGGAGCTGTAAATATGAATAAGCAGTAACAGAATTTGTGTAAATAAACTATAAATTATGCCTCATTTTTCAAGAAAAAAAGTACAAATTTAGTATATTAAGGTATTACGTACGGAAAATCAAACATATATTTTGCATATCAAAATAAATTTAAAGTATTCAATTTCTACCAAGACAATATTAGTATGGTCACAAATTAATATTAAATTTTTCAGCGATTTAATACTTTTGAATATTTTCCTTAAAACAATTTTACAAAAATATTACTTTTTTTAACGTATTCATTATTCTTTTTCAAACTATTGTAAGTGTATATATTCTTGAAAGTATATTTCTTTTAAAAAAAATATTTTTTTGTTATCTTACTGTTACATTTTGTGCGCGATTTGAGAAATCTAACAAATGATTTAATAAAAATAGCAGATAAACATCACAATAATACTGCAAATGTTTTTTAAAATGTTATGAGGTTTTTGTATTTAAAGCAAAATTTTTCATATTACACTTGAATAAAAATTTCATTATATTTGTAATTTGGTAGGTTCTCGTATTATATATTAAGATGTTAAGGCTAATTGCAATCACTTTTTATTTTTGCACGCACTGCAGTTTCTTTTTAGCATTTTAATTTACTAACATTAAAAAAAAATATTGGTTCACATGGAGAAATTTTCTCTCCTAAACTTTAAATTTTGAATCTAATTCAGAAGGTAATTTAGAGCCAGACTTTTTTTACTCAAATAGATTACAATTTATATAGTTTTTTCTTATAAATAATTCAAATCAGTAGTTAAGGTATGTGATGAAATTATTCAATGAGCAAAATAAATAGTAGCGGTTTGCCATTGTTTGCCCTCCCGGAAAAGCTTTCTCAGTTGCTTTTAGATCCTATTGTTCGTTCACCAGATTCTTAAAAATTAAATTTAATAGAACAATAATTTTCATTGAAGTTTTTTTATTCTCTTAAACATAAATATCAGATATATAAAAGCTTGTGAATAATGAATGTAAGTAAAGAGCGCATATTTTTATCATCTGTAATTTGATTGGTTGTTGTTACAACGAAACAAATAATTTCAATTTCTTACATTTTGAAATTTTGCCAAAAATTAAAAAAAAAGAAAAAACTGAAATTAGAATATAGGGTCGTCTTTTAAACTGTTCTTCATTTACACATTCATTAGGTCAATACTATGCACAAATTATTTTCATTTACAAGGTATTCAAATTTGATTTTTTTAATGCTATTCTCTGCCACTGGGAACAAATCAATCTTTTCCTCCGTGTTGCGTTAATATTTTACACAACAGGTATTTAATAAAATACTACAATAAATTAAACAAATAATAAATATTTTTTGCGACATTTTATATTTATTTAAAAAAATACTTATGCATAAATCATAAAACTACAAACAAATAAAAATGTTCTGTAACTTTAAAAGACTTTATTGTAAAGGATAAAGTAATCGATGATAAATTTGCATCTATATACTATATTGCTCATTATATGAGTACATATTTAAATGCAAATAAAAATTTCAGAAATAATTATATCAAGAAACATTACACAGTCTATTTCCATTTCAATGCTATATAAAAATAACTTTAACGATGTCTTGACTTTAATTGGGTGTGTATATGATTTCCTTGGGGACAGTTTTCAGTTCTTCTGTATACAGCAATAAACTACCCAATTATAGTAATGAGAACTCTCATATTACCGTGACTTGTTATTGAGTATGAAGAGAGAATGCAAAATATTAGCCTAAAGTGTACAAATGTAAATTGTTTTTGCATCGTAGGATTCTGCAATGTCGATGGTATTCGTGTTCCAGTTGGTACTCAAGCATACATCAGAGATAAATGTGAAAAAATAGAATGCGAAGATGGCGTATTTCACCATTTTACGTGTGTATATATTTTTTTATTTGATTTAGAATTATTCTTTTATCTGTCTTATCAGTATGATCGATTTTTTAAAAAAAATGAATATCAATATAATATAGGATAAAATAAATGATTGTGGGAGATATGTAACAATAAAAAAAGAAATTGGACAAACAGCGGTCATTATTCTGTTATATAAGTTATTATTGCTTTTGCACTTTTAGAAAAATTGCTTTAACGTTGGACTATAATATTTGTACAATGCTCAAAAAAGAAAAAAATGGACTACTCTGAATAACTTCTGATCTAATGATAGGATCGTCACATTCTAGGACTCATTCTTAATGGTTTCAAGGAGTGACCTCAAATATGCTAATCAATAAGTAATATGCTAATCCTCAAATATGCTAATTGAAGAAATAAATGATTGTAAGAGAAAGAGAAAAAAAAGAAAAAAAATGAGAAGAAGAGATTTACAAGAAAAAAAAGAGAAAAATTAGACAAAGAGCTGTCATTATTCTGCTATATAAGTTATTGTTGCTTCTGCGCTTTTAGAAATATTGGTTTAACGTTGAACTATAACATTGTACAGTGCAAAAAAAACAAAAAAGAAACGAAAAAAAAACGGACTACTCTGAATAAATTTTGATCTAATGATGGGATCTTCACATTCTAGGACTAATTCTTAATATTTTCAAGGGATGACCTCAAATATGCTAATTAATTAGTGCTGACGATATTTTAAGTTATGAAATCAGGAACAAAAACGTACTTTGCCTCAATAATGGACGTATTTGAATTATAAAATTCAAATACGTCCATTGTTCAGGCAAATTCATTTTATGGACCTATTTGAATTTCTGACTCTGAATATATAAGAGGTAGCAGTAATCTGGGAAATATGGTCTCCATTGTTTGATCGGAAGAGCAATCCAAAGTTTGAATCCCTTAATGTTAATTTTACTTTTTGTTAATTTTACTAATTTACTTTACCCTTATCTCGAGAATTTTTTAAGCGAATTAAAAAAATTTTGCACACAATTATGAAATTCGTTTATCCAAACATAATTCCATGCAAAAAATGAATGTAGTAAATATTTATTATTTTTTGTTATTTTATTTAATATTTATTTCCATTTTTTATAATTTTGTCTTAATTTTAAAATACTTTTTTAATTTTATTCAATTTAAATTTTGCTTTGAAAAGTATAAAATTTTTTGCGTCATTTTAAGGTATGCAATTTTACATGGCGAAATACAAAATTTGAGCAAACTCGGTTCAAATAGTTCATGAGAAATCAAATTTTGAAGAAGCTGCGTATTTAGAATTCGATTTAACAGAAACCGAACCTTCGAAAATAAAAACATTTTTATTCAGAAAAAAAGTAGTACATTTTTGTGTCTGATTTTGTAACTTAAAATATCGTCTGCACTAATTAATTACCATATTTGATGTCACTCCCTCTAACCATTAAAAATGAGTTAAGATCCAATAATTAGATCAAAATTTATTTAGGGTGGTCCGTTGTTTTATTGGCGCACTGTAAATTTAAATGTAATGCGGCGCAAATTTTATGATTTTTTAGTAAGGTAGGGACTTCTTTCTTTCCGTTGCAATTCAACTATAGTATTGAGGTGAGCCGCGATGACTCAGGGGATAGAGAGTTCGCTCTATCCCCTGAAACATGCTCAAAGGTAGACGGATCATGGGTTAGAGTCCCCTTGTCGTCAGGCTAACCATGGGAGGTTCTCATAGTCTTCCTCTCCATGTAACGCAAATGGAGGTTAGCTCCATCAAAAAGTCCTCCACGAAGGCAAATTTCTCCCAATACTCGATCCAGGAGTTCCCTTGTCTTCTGGATTGGGTTGAAAATTACAAGGCTATGGAGTTGAACATTAGTAGTGGTAAACCCATAAATTTGGGTCGGCTGTTCAACGACGGTTATAAAATAAAATATAGTATTGTGGTATTAGGTATCGGCACTTTGGGTGCATCATCCTTAAAATCCATTTCTTACCTTATATTATTTTATCGTAATTTTTACAGTATTATTTATTTAATTCAAGCAATTCAATGATTTTGAGGTAATTATCACTGTAACGGTCTGCCTTTTTATCTGACTTTTTGTTTCGTTACATCTTCCGGTAAAAGTGGATTTTTTGGCAAAAAATAGAGGCTCTTTGAGTGCCAGTACTTTTTACCGTAATTTGATCTGGAATTTTTAGAGCATAGTTCACAATTGAGCCAGTTACATTAATAAATGAACTTCTACCAAAATTCAAAGTAAAATTGTTTTAGATTAAGCATAAATAATTTTATTTTAGTTTTATAATTATGTGTTTCGAGGCATAACCTGATAGATTTATAAATGTTTCTAGTATTTCAGTGTTTTTAGTTTTTACTTCTGTTGAAACAAGTCAACAACAAGTCCTAAAAAGTCAAAATAAATAACATAAGCCCTCTATGGAACCACGAGACCAACTATAAATGCATGGAATGAAAGAGGGAAATGTGTAAAAAATGTGCAATATGAAAAATTTATGAAATATATTTCTAATTTCGCAAGTTTTAATTATTTGTTTAATTAAAGAAGACAAGCAAGTTGTGTACGGAACAATACTCTTATAAATGCTTCATTTGACTTTTCTTGATTATAAGAAAAGAAAAACATCAGCTCATAACATAAAACGTATGAGTCTTTTTACATGGGTCTTTTTACATACGCTCTATGCTCAGCAATTTTAACCAAGACGATAATTGGGCACACTCTGCTCTAAAACATAACGAAACGGTGGAACGTATGAATGATTAGTTAATTATTACAGCTCTTTGAATGCGTAAAATAGCACTATTATTCGTAATTTGATTAGAATGGAAATTTCAAATAATGCTGTATGTAACTTACGTTAAAATAATATTAAAAATCCACAAGGAACATCATATAAACGGACATATACCCTTTATGAACCATTTTTTTCAGTGTTAAAACACAGAATTGAGGGAGAAACACGGAGAGATAGAAACAATTAAATCAAGTTACAATACATATAAAAGGATTGATCTATAGAGTAAAGAAATGAATTTAAAAAAAACTTTTTAGAAACAGATTACATGAAGGAAAATTGATAGACCATTAATGTAGCAGCAAACAAGATTTTTTTTAAAAGAATGTTTCATCTTGTTCTACTACCCAATTGGTCAATCTTTTTTTTTTACCTTACTTTAATTTATTTCTAATTTCTCCAATTTGTATCCTTTCCCTATTTTAGTTTCTGAAACTTAAAACGTTACTTCATAATAGTTTCTCGCAATGATGATATGTTTGTTTATGTGGTATTATTTACTCCTTTTTCACGTTGTTTTAATTATATTTGAAAGGAAAATATGTTCCGGAAAATATTATTTTATGATAGTAATGTAAATTAATTTTATTTCAGTGACATTTCTTTTAATTTATAGGTGTGATTATAAAAATCCTTCGAATTCGTTGTGCAGATTGATTGCAGGTGATGGACAGTATCCCAATTGTTGTCCTCGCAATATAAAGTGTGAGAACGTGTTTATTGCAGCAATTACCAGGAATTAATATGTTGCATAATACATTGAAACGAGTTCATGTAGGAATTTGTTTTTATTTTTCAAATAAAACTTTATTTTTTTTAAGTGTATTCATTATTATAGTTGATAAAATACTGATGGATGGGATGGTATCTTTGGCTCCAATACTGTAAGTCTAATATGCAATAGTATACATAATAAAAATACATTACAAGATTACTATACAGTTTCAGAAAATAATTTCAACATTGAACCGTGTTATTGGTACTTTGAACCATAACGCGATACAATTCATCTGCAAACATATCCAATTAGTACATTTCAACCAGGATTTCTTTCAAATTCTTTTTTCTCCAATGCCTACCCGATTGACATTCGTCATCCAGGTATTACAAGGGCAGATTTGTTGGCCACTCTTTCAGGGGCACCATATTAGGTGGGCCAACATTGTTCCCCCATTAAGGACATATAGTACAGAGAACGAAAGAACATCCCAGCCTTGTCCGGGATTCGAACCCAAGACCTTTCTGATGCAAGGTCAGTTCCCTGACCACTACACAGTCTGGTCGGCGGATTCATTTCAAGCTAAACCACAATATTGTATTATCAAGTTTATGAAGTACGGAAACATGGTTCAACTCAGTATTTTATTATGGTTGAAGAAAATTTGAAAGATAATATGGTACAATTTTCTCTGAAACCTCGAACGCGATACTTGGCTCATTGTAAAAAATGGTTTCGGAATATTGAGCTAAATTGTGTCCAAATAGCTTCGAAATAATAGTCAAACTTGAAAACCCCACGTATTCAGAAGTGAAACAGCATTTACTCATTGCGTAAAATGCATATTGTCAAAAGTTATGTAGAGGGGAAAATGTGGGAGAAATGTTCGCTGGCTGCCAATCCAGAAAGAGTTAAGACGCTTTACGTAGTGGTTGCGGCAATGATACATCATGACATACTAATTTCAAATTTCAATGAGAAAAAGAGGTTAGAATTTGAAAAGGGTTCAAATTTGAAAAATATGATCTCAATCGTTTAATCAGGAGATTGGAAGTTTTTATTTCACCTTTTGTTTATTTCGCTTTATCTTAAATACTTTTAGGAGATTGGAATGTACGTCACGATGTGTCATCTCGGCAACCACTATATAAAAATTCCCAATTCTTTGTGGACTGGGATTTACACCAACGGTAGTTAGAGCTTAGATCATCCTACTAAGATCCCGTAACTCCTTGGTTCAAAACCTGCATTTTACTCAAAATTGAGTATATGGGTGATTCTTTTTAAACATGACAATTCGGACCAAAAAATTTCTTGAAATTTAAAGTCTTCGAAATAATCTGAAATATTTTTTGCATACTTCTCTAGTTACACTTATTAATATCTTACAGAGAGCAGTGTAGTTTATTGACATTTGCTCAAAAAAATTAAAAAAAATGGAAATTCACCGAATCTTGAATGCCAGGAAAATGACGTATTAGCTTAGAAGTTTAAAAAGCAGTCATTTTAAGTTAATAGTAAGTAACTCAACTTAAGCCTTTATGTCAGATGGACCATAAATTGCTTAAATTAATTCTTTTATCCACTGTAGAAAGAATCAAAAATTGTTTTGTTGCTGATGTGTACAGAATAAAATTGTGTATAATAATCAATCATTAAATAAGTAAACAACTTTGATTACATCCAAGCATATTACAATCATACATAAACTTGGCATTAGGTTAATATTTGCTTTCCCTCCTTACAGTATTAGCAGTTAAAAAAAATTCTGGTAACACTTCAATGCCCTGGCATTCATAAGCCAGGAAAATGACAGCCAGGATAATGACAAATTCGCCATTTCATAACATATAACTTCACCTTAATTTAATATTTTGGCCTAAGACGTTTATATTCTGCAGAAAACAACAGGATTTTTTAAAATAACTCAGATAAATCTATGTAGTTCATGTTATTAATGATTTCAAGAAGCCAGGAAAATGACAACACGAAAAACTACTCACCTTGAAAATTTTTTTTAAATAGATTTTGAACCAGAAAATTGGTTCTTTATTCATACAACAAGACATGTTCATATAGGAGGGTATCTAATCAATCTATTAACATAAGATATCGATTTCTGACTTTATTTATTTTGGTTATAAACCATTAAATAAAAGTAGCCAGGAAAATGACAGATTTTCTTGGGACTTTTTTGTAAATAATACCTTCTGCGTACATTCTAGAAATGCTTACACCGGTTGAGAAAAAAAATGAGATATTAAAAAATTTATGGGAAGTTTTGAAGCCAGTTATTATTGGAAACATTGTTTGTGATATGCCAGAAACAGGAAATTTTGAAGTTCAATTAAATTTTTTAGCTATACAAAGCAGTCAATCCTGGTGCAAAATCATTTTAAAATGCTAACAGTAATGCTATTTATTAATTTTTCAAAAAAAAAGTTCTCTTAGTATTATAATATTAGATCTTGGAGCAAGGGACAGTGAATTGTCATATTTCGTGAGAATCACCCATATGCTGTTTCAATTTTGAATACACGGGGATCAAAAATTCACCTACATGTGTATCGGAGCTATTTTGAGAAACCCTTTTTATAGTGTACGCTATTGGTTTCAGATGCATAACGTACATAATATAAAATTATAATTATTTAATCAACAAAGAAAAATATAATTATTCAATTAATTTTGCTAAATAAAAAATGCTATTCCTTACATAATATTAAGTCATATACAATTTCAATGACAAAGATTGTAAAAAGAATAAAATCACGGAATAAAATATTTTGCAACATTAAGTTTTAAAATCTTATAGGTGTTTTTAATAAAAAATATTCATTTCTCTTAGTAGGCAAAATTAATGTTTGTGCTTAGAGATAGGTATGAAAAAATATTTACAAATCTAATGATAAAATCATTATATTATTGTTCCGATAGATATGTAACAATACCACATCCTGTGATTTGTGTCTGCAACATTCTAATTACCGACATTTGCTATTTTGATAATTTTTTTAGCACTTCCTTTAATTGAAGGATGTGATTCAACCGACAAACTGAGAACACTGATGTATGAACTGAACACTTAGTTTAAATAATAATTTTGCTTTTGATTAAAACTTAAACAACCATATGTTCAAAATGAAAAATAATTTCATTATTACTTTGCTGGAAATATTGTTGTTTTTGACATTAACACATGCATATATAGGCCTTATTCTACTTGACACAAAAAATGGTAAGTTTACATTTGTTAATTTCTATTTCATAATCCATAGCCATGGATAAACACAAGAAATACGGCAAAACTTGTTACTTCTGCTATTTTTAATAACTAATGAGTGATTGCTTCGTATTCATCATTTTTTCTTCAAAGTCATTATTTTCATAATGACTAGAAGACTTCACTTCCTGTTCAATCCCCTCATCAACACCCGTGATTGCTTCGTATTCATCATTTTTTCTTCAAAGTCATTATTTTCGTAATGACTAGAAGACTTCACTTCCTGTTCAATCCCCTCATCAACACCCGTGATTGCTTCGTATTCATCATTTTTTCTTAAAAGTCATTATTTTCATAATGACTAGAAGACTTCACTTCCTGTTCAATCCCTCATCAACATCCGTGATTGCTTCGTATTCATCATTTTTTCTTAAAAGTCATTATTTTCCGCAAAATCAAAAATAGATTTTTTTATTAGAGTTTACATTTATTGTAATTTTACGTAAGAACATTTTGTTAATATATTAATCAAATCGAAATAAATGACTACTATATTTTGATACTTGAAAAAAGAATTGTCCTTAGTAATTCAATTTGTGGGAGAATAAGAAGAACTTTATGAAGAAATTTTTCTTGTTAACGGAACATTACCAGTACAACATTTCAACTTGGAAACGGTTTTCATTTATCTTAATTTTTTTTATCTCTCTCTCACACGCTTTTATCTTCTTTCTTTTCTATTCTCTTTTTCTTCTTTTCTCTTTTTTTTCGGTAATTTTGATATCAACTCAAGTGTGAGCATATTAAATGATGATCTCAAGCAAAGATAGATAGATTTTTCTTACAATGCTGGATTATTAGTCATTACTTAAAATAAAAGTCAAGGAAAAAAAGACAAAAAGGCACATAAAATACAATAGAGCAAATTGGAGTTTCTTAAAAAAATCTGGAGCAAAGTGCACAAATAAAAATGGCCCTTTCTTGACATCAAATCTCAACTCAGCTCTGTAGTTGCTTTTAAGTGCAATGGAATTTTTTACTGCAAGTTTAAGAGTTAGTAATTCGCGAACGAGGTATCAAATGAAAACTTTTTATATTCCACCGTAATCTCCATACATTTTCGAACACTCTTCGTAATTTTGAGCAAAAAAACAAAATATAACATTAGGTTATATTTTGTATAGACCATCGTTTAGAACAACATTTTTGAATAGAGTATCCGAAACAGCGTTGGCGGCGACAGAGGTTCTTACAAATTTTTAGTGTAGATAAGTTTTATTTTTGCGATTTTAATAATAATTGTTGCATTTTGATATTTTATCAAATTATAGTGTTAAACTGAGTGTGTAAGGTAATGCGTTTTTAAAAGTTTTTGTTGTTCTTAAGAGTTTTTAAGAGTTTTTAACACAAAAGCAATTATGTTCAACAGGATATTGTGAAGCTGAGGGTGTTCGCATAGCTGTTGGAGATGTTTCCTACAATGATGAGCAATGTGAAATGTTAAGATGCAGTGAGGGAGAACTTCGTGTCACAGGGTATGTGGTTCTTTTGATACAGTATGCTTTTTCATTAGTATAAAATGTATTTATTTTTTAAAAGAAATAAAATTTTATCAATCTTCATATTTTTTTATGGAATAAATTTGTTGACTTCTGACCATATGGAGAGCATATCGTGAAGTAAAATGGAAGAGAATTTTGCATAAAGGAGTATTGAGATATTCGTTAAAGAGTAGTGTGAAAGACGATTATCCAGTTCTTAAAGTTACAGGTGAAGATGTAGAATGTCGAAACTTTAAAGTTATTCTTAAAAAATTCCAGGTGATGATTTTAACAGTAAAGAGACTAAAATAAATTTAAATTGGCTTTGTTAAAATGAAAAATCTAGGCTGAGATTAAAAGAAGTACATTTTCTACATTTCGGTGGTATGTCCAGTGATTTATACCTATTGAACTGTCTTCGACTTAACCCAGAAAAAAAAGAGAGAGCACATTGAAGATGCTCTATATTTTTTGTCAAGCGTCGTCACTAAATTTGGTAATAATTTGCTGCTTATAACCATTAATGAGTTTTTTTCTAAGAGGCTTACGTTTCGATGCAAAAAAAAAATAAATATTGTGTCTTCATTTGTAAATTTTCAAATTCTGACACCGTAACTAATTTTTAGAGTTGGATGATCTTTAGCCTATTTTTGAGTGCATACTTTATAGCAGCCTTATTAATATATTATTTCATTTATTTTCATGACATTGACATGACTTTTACAGTCATATGACTGCCAAGTCATTTTATCACCCTGTATTAGGAAGAATGCAATGCCGTGATGAAGAATTATAAAATTAATTGTCTAGTGGAAAATCACGTTAGGTTATTTAAAGAAAAACATTTACATTTTCAGCCTTAACGTATTAGAAGCAGCTAAAAGGATAAAAATGAGTTTATTTTGTCAATGAGGTGATCTCTATGTGTTATATGAAATTATACGAAAATAAATTTAATACGAAAGACACAAACGAATCCTAACTTAATACAAACACGAATTTAATATGGCTTTAATAGGAATTTTCTATACAACGAATCTAAAAAGTAAGTTGAGAAACTATTTATTAGCATTTTAAAAACACTCAATCTTGCTCGTTAAACAATATATTATGATTATCTAAATATTTATTCAAGTCAAATTAGTTGCCAAGTCAATATATCTAAATAAATGTTGCTAAGTAAATAAGTATGTCTCTATATAAATGTCAAATTCTACTTTCAAGTTTAGATTTGAGGTTTATTAGCTGTAACAATTGTTTTGCGAGCAGCTTTCTTTTGTTTTTTATGCATTCTGGAATTGAATTTTATAAATTATTAAAACGTTACTTATTAAGGTTTTCTACTAAAATCTTACATTACAATAACTTAAATTTCTTTAAATATTAATTTATATTTTATATCACTGGAAGGTATAAAAGAAACTTATACATTAAATGAATAGCAATGCGTTGAAATATCTGAGAGAATTTTTATTATTATTTCAATAACAAAAGTCCCTTTAGATATTTCAACACATTGCTATTTGTTTCGTGTAAAAATCCATTTAGTGTGGTAGGTAGAGCTTTCAAGTAACAAGGCTTTGGATGAGTTTCACGATGTAATTTAAAATAATGAAATATAAAAAGTGAATGTCGAAACCCGTCGAGTAGTTTCTGAGTTATTAAAATTTTAAAATTATGTTATAAAATTAGTATATTAAAATTTGACTTCTCGAAAACTATTTGACCGATATTTTTTAAATAATATATATTTTTACTATTAAAAATAAATTTTTCACCTAAAATTGTCCTTAAATAAAAAAATTTTATAATTGTGGAAAAAAAATCTTTGATTCGCTTTTTTAGCAGCGGAGATATGAAAAAATGCGTGAAAAGAGAAATTTGCAATAATGAGTTCAAATTTCTCTCTTGCCTAAACTATTGAGACCATATTTTCTGGATTGAGCCTATACCTCCATATTTTGCAATTCGATATCGAAAAAAAGAATTTTATTCTCAGAAAGTATGTTTCTACGCCTGATTTAGAGACTTGAAATATCATCTGCACTAATTAATTAGCATATTTAAAAGAATTTCATCGAACTATTAAAATTGAACCCAGTAAAAACCCAACCAATAGATTAAAAGTTATTAAAGGTGTTTGACACTTTTATTGGCAACCGTCTGTATAGTTATAAAATTTTATTTTTTGATTAGCACTTTTCACATTAATCTGGAAAATCTTTTTTATTTTCATTTAGTTGCAATACCAAAGTATTCACTCGGTTAGAATTAAAAATGCATTTAATAGGTTAATCTTTAATTAAAAAATTTAATGTCTCAGAAAGATGCTATGTATTGCAATTTGAGGTGAAAATAGTGGTAATGACGTTTCAACAATACTAATGTTTTATTTTATTTTATAACCGTCGTTGAACAGCCGACCCAGTTTTGGATTTACGACTAATAATGTTCAACCCCGTAGTCTTGTAATTTTGAATCCAGTCCAGAAGACGAGGAAACTCTTAGATCAAGTTTTGAGAGAGATTTGCTCTCGTGGAGGACTTCTTCTAATAGAATTCTGCATTTGCGTTAAACGAAGAAGAAAACCACGAAACCCTGTCATGGTTAGCCTGATGGCAAGGGGACTCTAACCAATGATCCGCCTACGACTGACGCTATTTTTAATCAGCACTGTGTACGGTGTGAGCTGACTGGGAAAGTAGCATCAACCAGTTATGCCTAGGTTTCAAAACAGGTTCACCTCATTTGGATGTGAACGCTGTATTCTCTGAGCCACCACGGCTCTATACTAATGTTTTATTTTAATTTTATAACCGTCTTTGAACAGCTGGCCTAATTTTGGGTTTACGACTACCAATGTTCAACCCCGTAGCCTTATAATTTTGAACCCAATTCAGAAGACAAGGGAACTCCTGGATCAAGTATTGGGAGAAATTTGCCTTCATGGAGGACTTTTTGGTGAAACTTACCCGCATTTGCGTTACATGGAGAGGAAGACCACGAGAACTTTCCATGGTTAGTCTGAAGGCAAAGGGACTCTAACCAATGATCTGTCTACCACTGAAGATATTTCAAGTCAGCACTATAATCGGTGCAAATCGAATGCGAATTCGTATCGACTAGCCATCGCCGGGATTCGAACCCGGTTCACCTCATTGGAAGGCGAATGCTCTATCCCCCGAGCCATCGCTGCTCTAAAATTTCGTCTCCGCGTGCGCTCGAACGCAAACTTTGTAAATATTGCAGAAACCATCAAGGAATTGTCAGAAATTGACGAAAATTATACTACGCATTACTGATAAAGGTACATACGCAACAGTAGTACATGAGCAATCCCTTTGTTATTCTAATCATTTGCATGTCTTATCTTACTTTACATTTCATGTAAATATGATTCAATTTGCATAATTCCATCTAATATTCTCAAACATGCGTGTATTTATTAGTAACGACTTATTCCTTACCTTTCAAATTATATGCATTTGAACTAATACATAAGTTTTGTTAAATTATGTAACAAACACATTATTTAATTTATGAAGCAAATATTTTCCAATCTGATAGGTGTGCACCAATGAGATCTTCACGTCCGTGGTGTCGTCTAGTTCCAGGAGAAGGTCGTTTTCCCATGTGCTGTCCCCATATTGAAGAATGTGACGAAGCAAACAATGCGGCTGAAATAAGCTTTGATGGAATTTAAAATTCTAACAGAAAATTAAGCTTTGAAAATTTGTTGTAACTCTTCATAAATGAGATTTTGTAGAGAAAGATAAAATTTCGAATGAAATCGTAGTTTTATTTCTATTTTCAGATTTGTAATGATAAAAAATATTTGGATCTTGCATTTTTGGTATTTTTCTTTTCTAATATTAGTTAAAATAATATCGACTCAAGCTCAATTATTTACTTTAAGTAATGTTTTGAAGATTAAAATACATGAAAGTACGTAAGTGTAAGTGAGATACGATATTGTTATTATAAGGAAACATGATTTCTGAAATTTCGTTTTAAATGCATACATTGTTTTAAGTTTATGATAATAAAAAATGATGCCGATAGTTGTTAGGAAAGTTGAATAAAAATGTTCTACGAGACTTTAGAAACTTTAATATACCTAAACATTAATACTTCTCATTTTTAAAGAAACTGAAGTTTAATTTTCGAGTTTTTTTAAATAAAGATATCATTCTCACTTCACTAGAATTTACGCAAGTTGCACACGTTTAAATTATTTCAAATAATCGAAAAATAAATAATAATAATAATAAGAGAATAGCTTATGGTTTACTAAACTCTAGTGAATTTCTTTTTCTTTGAAGTTTTCAGCTTTTTTTTCCCTATTTAATGTAATACGTAGTTCCACACCCTGATTATGGCATATATTCAATATTAATTAAGCTTATGAAAATATACAAAAGAGGAAATCAATTTTGATGCAACGTGCAAAGATTTAGAAAACTTTGCAAGTGCATCAAAATTGATATTTACTTCATAATTTTCATGTCATAATGTTTTTCTTCTTTCTTTCGTAATTTACTTTCATAATGTTCATAATGTTGTTTATTTTCATGATTTTATTTAAGTTATATTTTAAATGTATATTATGAAAAATCTCTATTAAAAGAATTATTGCTTGGTTAAGAAGCGATCGCACCAAAACGAAAATTTAATGATCACAAAAATTAATCCACATGACTGAAAGTAAGTTTTTTTAGCTTAATGTATCTTCTTTAAAGTTTTATAGTATAGTTTCTTTATAGTACAGTTTCTTTATAGTATAGAGTAGTAATACTCATCTTTATAGTATCTTTATAGTATTAAATGAAATGAAACTTGCTCATCTTTCTTAGCTACAAAAAAATCAAAACCAAAACTGACGAAAATATTACCTTTTATTTTCCTTTTTTCCTCATTTCAGGGTCTTTTTTTGTTTTTGAAATTCAGTTTTTTTACTTCGTTTTAGAACGTACTGACTTCGTTGCGGTTCAAAATAAAAATCAGGACAACATTTCACCAAAAACTCAAGACAAAATATCAGGACATTGTTTGGAACCATTTAAGAAAAAAAGAGCTAAAAAAATATTGATTACCTTGACCATTGCCTTGAAAATTTCGTATTGTGCGTCATGTTTCTTTAACTTTCTTCAACCTTTAAAAAAAGTATGGGAACACTAAACGTTTTTAAATAAATATTTAAGAAAGGAACAAGTTGATCAGAAATGATTTTAGAAAAAGGTGTGATATCCCGCATACTGTGAGAAATCTCTTTACTTGAATTTTCTTGATTATCGAAATCTAAATTTTCTTGAGGAGATAAGTTCCTTAATAAAAAGCAGGCCGCATTAGGTTTAACAGCAAATTTATGATTATAGATGTCGTACAACATTTTATTATATCAAAATAAAATTACTATAATCTACATTCTAAATAATAAATGCATACAAAAATAAATAAATTGAAAGAAATTGCATTGCATTGTAATCTGGAAGCAAAGGTCAACGAAATAAAAAAGAAAAAAAACATTACTAAAAGTAAATGAACTTATAAAAATATTATCGATTTAGAAAAAAATGAAATGAAAAATATAAGAAATGAAAAACAATGCTTTTACTGAAAGTTCATCTTTAACATTACTTTCCAATTAGCCCTCGGGCATAATAAGAAAACAATTTTGACGGCAGGAATGCTGAATTCCTTTCAAAGATGACGAAAAGTCAGAAACAAGATTAACAACCTGAACATCCTTGAACAATTGAATTTTGCAGTCTTTACTAACATTGTGAATTAAAATAAGAAAACGTTATTTCAAAATTTCAAATCTTTTGATTCTTAAAATATATTTTCTGAAAACCCATTCTTGTAATGTAAAAATCAGAAACATCAGGACAGACAGCTAAAATCCAGTACAAATACGAAAAAAATATTTTGTTGTTTGAATGTTGTGCAAATTCAAGTAAATTTATAGAATTGATTGTGCTAAACTCAAAGTTATTTTCAGAAAAATAATTAAATAAATTTTCTCTTCTTTTTTAAATGAATCAAGACGAAAACAATTGAAACAAGACAAGACGAAAACAATCGAAACAAGACAAGACGAAACCAATCCTGATTATTACCTTTATATAAGTTTAAAAACTAAAACTGTATAACATTTTTTATGGATATTTCATTGAAAAAATACCTTTCTTCGTTTGCTAGTTAAATAATGCACAAAAATGATTTGATTTGCGTAACAATAATTAAATGCTAATAAGATATTTATGCAAGCACAGAACATCCTGTATTTAGAACTCACAAAACATTTGAATTGCTTGATTTTATATTTCGATAATTTCTTTATCACCTATTATTGAATACTTCCTTACATTCGAGGTTGACCTTTAAAGTCTTTAGTTCAATAATAGTCGTTAAAGATTAGGGTTTATGTTCTAATATATTCATAATGAAAACCATTTTACTCTTTCTTTATTTTAAAGTATTATTCTTTCACACTTTTGCTTATACGTATTTAAGCGTTACTCATCTTAACACAGATAATGGTAAGTTTAATACATATTACTAATTTTCATTAAATTTTAAATAATTGTTAATTCATTGCTAATTTCATTGACATATTCAAATGTTATTAATGTTGAGGGCTTAGACTAGTGACATTAGTTATTTGAAATACTAGTTTTTTTTAATTCTACGTTATCCTGAGGACAAGTTATAAAAATTTAAATTTAATTAGAAGTAAAATTAAATCCTTAATTTTAAATTTTCTCCTTATTTTTCATCGTTACAAGACGATTAAATATATTTATTATTTCATTAATTTTATTATCACTTTGAATGACTGATTTATATCGGATGTTTAGCTGTATCTATCTTCAACTGCGTAGCCTTGTGATTTTAACTCAACTCAGAAGACAAATTTTAAAAAAAGTTTGAAATCAATATAAATATAATTTTTAAAACAAATGTAAAAAATCATTAAAAATTTTTCTTATAATTATTATTTTTAAAAAAATGAAGAAGGAAGAACTGTAAGTGTGTTTTTTTGTGCCAATAAATATGAATAAGTTAAAAATATCGAGAAAAAATTTTTAAAAGTGAGGAAGAAGAAAATTTTTTTAATAAATAATTTTAAAAAATTGGAAAAAAAAATTAAAAGCCGGAAAAGCAAAATAAAGGAAAGATATAACCTCATCATTAGCTCATGTGATTATATCCGCAAAAAATGTGACTGTTTAATATTGTATTAATATACATTTCTTTTATCCTTTTTGTCTTTATTGTGTTACAGATATATTAGACAATTTTTCCTATAAATATCTTATTTCTTAAATATTTTGTCAGTTGGAAAATGACCATTTAAGTCTCTAAACTGACAATAATCATAACAATAGATTAGAGTAGGTACTCTCAGGCTGGAGCTGAGTTGTAATTTAAGAGGAAGCTATACCATGGGATAAATTTTTCATTTCAAATTCTCCTCCATTGATATCTAAAAACCTAATATGAACCATGAAGTTTCTAATGCTGAAATTCAAAATATTAAACTGTAAACAAATTACTGTACGATTTCTTTCCCACTGCGTAATGCTGAATTTTCCAACCATAATTTGTGTGCACTTTGATATTTTGAAAAATTTGTTTATCATTTGAAATTTCGTGGTTTTCATTAGGTTTACCTAAACTAACCTTTTTCTAAGCTTTAAATTATTTATGTTAGTGAAAGAGAATTTCTCACGATGGGTTTCTCTCGCAGTATGGCGTCCTCTTCAAGTAGTGATTCTGTGATATAACTAAGTTTATAAAAAACCACTTATTCAACAGGATATTGTGAGATAGATGGAGCTCGCATAGCTGTTGGAGAAAGGTCTTACGATTATATCGGATGTCGAATGCTCAGATGCGAAGTGGGACAACTGCATATTTCAGGGTAAATAGAATTATCAAATTTTCAAACCTTATGCTTCTTTTAGACATAAAATTTTATTTGGTTTAATAAAATAAATTTATTAATTCAATTCTCTATTTGAATTTAAATGTATTATGCGAATAATGTAAAGGTAGCGACAGAATGAATTTTTACAAAAATTTAGTTTGCTTATTATTCAATAAATGCTTTAGCACTGTGCCAAGTGCATTTAAGTGCCAAAAAATTATTCGTCCGTGAGGATCGTTTCCAATAAGAACATTCCAGAAACCAACGTAAGACAGAAATTCGTTAAATCTTTAACTAGCTAGGTGTCTGTAAACAATTAGATTGCTCATTATTCAATAAATGCTTTAGCACTGTGCCAAGTGCAAAAGATTTGCAAGTGTGATATTCTTTTCGAATCAAACACTTGATAATCTTGCAATTGTTATTAGTGTAAATGGTATTTCTTTTTTTTCAAGGAAACTTCAACTATCTTTAATAGTTCACTTTTAAATATTCAAACTAAAATAATTTAAGAACCAAAGAGTCATTCGTCCGAGAGGATCGTTTCCAATTAGAACATTCCAGAAACCAACGTTAAGACAGAAATTCGTTAAATTTTTAACTAGCTAGGTGTCTGTAAACAATTTGAATTCTTTATATTCTTAATTCTGCTTAAGGATGCTGAAAATAACATGACGCTTTTCTCGATGATAACTGAGAATTCTTTGAAATTTAGAATGTACTTATTTGGGTAAAACAATTAATATTTTCTTTGTTTTAAATTTAGACAAGTGTAATTTTTTTTCTCAATTCAGTATTAACCTCGTAATGCGTCATTTCATAAATATTCAGACTCAGAATCATTTTAAAAATCTTTAGGCATAAAACTGATTTTAAAAAATTAGATAATTAGATAAGACTTAAAAAGAATTTGGATACAATAATTTAAAAAACTACTCAGTTCAAAAATTAAAAAACTATTACATTGAGCAAAAATGTATAGTCAAAATTGGTAAGATTTATCGTGTTTCTGGCTTTATGAGTCATATGTGCTAAACTTTGGTAATTTAATCATGAAATTTTCGATTATACCACAAAACATTAGTTCTGTTAAATTTGCTTTTCAATTTTGTATTTTATACTAAGTGTGTGGTAATAAGAACTGTAACTTTGAATACCAGAATTTCCACATTTACTATATGAACGATAAACAGTATGAGTGGTTTAAATACTGTATTAATTGTATTTTTTAACTAGAAATATGTTATTTTTTTACTAGAAATGTCCCTATAGTATGGTAATTTTACCAGTAATTTTTCTCTGTGTGGAATTAAAAATATTTAAATATGAACAAGTTTTTAAAATAGTTGGAGGATTTAATTATTATCTGAAAGTCCAAAGAATTTTTTTAATAGATTTTTCTGTTGTAATTTTTGAATTAAATTCCTCTGGTATTGTTTAAGAAGTAAGGGCGAAGAAGACTCACTACTGTTATGATAAAATAAATTCAAAATTGGAGATAGGCCTGAATATTGTATTACCCTGCTGAATCAATTTCCGGATCAAATTTAATTAGATAACTGCAAGTGACGTCACTCGCGTGTGTTGAACCTGATTGGATGACCCACATTTGACGTCATTTAAAAGAATCCAATTGTAACTTAGTGTAGCCCCAATCAAGCATTATATCAATTTGTTACGTAATCTTCTTTTTTACTTCTCTTTTTTTCAATCTGCGCATTTTAATAGATGGCGTTGTTTTCTTTTGTTTTAAGTGTTTCCTTTGCATTTAGTTTGATTGTGAAATCGCTGTTTGACTGGTTTAATGTGAGTTTTATTTTCTCAAGTTTTTGTTTGAATTTCTTTTCTGAATTGGTTTTATGTATTTCATGTATTTTTTCCTGGACTTATACAAAACCTGCGGTTTACTAAGAGAATTACTTTTGCCATTTAATTTTGCCTCTCTCTCGATAGAAAAGGTTTAGTTTTATGGCTTCCGAGGCCGGTACCCTTTGAAGACGTGGGCTTCGGTGATCATATTTTCATTTTTATTTCCTTCGTTTTCTTTATTGCTATATTAGTGTAAATCTATTTCACTATGATAAATTATCAGAAACAATTTATTACGCAGAAAGACATGATTGCTGCCTAGTCAGAAATGCTCTCCTTCATGAACGTATCAATCAAATCAAAACCTAAGATTTACAGCGAGTATGAAACGGAGAAAATCAAGTATCTTTTTTTATATTTAAGTGCAAATCATGTTTTTTTTTGTTGCACTTTTCTTGTATTCGGTTGTGATGATGGAATTCTTATATAATGATATGCTTGTAATGTTCATTTTCCTCGTTTAAGTGCAATTTTTTCCCCATTGAAATCAGTGCTCTCATGTTTATGTAAAACAGTAATCATCTCTTAAATCGTTATTTCATTTTGAGCTACATTCAGCCTACATTTTCTTTATTTTTTTTCAGCCATCTTACATTATTTTACAATTTTTTCTGTTTCAGGATGTTACGATTTTCATTTCTGTGCGTAGGAATTTATATTTCATTCCAGTGTTTCTTACTAATTTATCAAAAATTTCTTGCGAAGATAAGCAATCTCTTTTTTCACATCCTTCAAATCAATCAAAAGTTTTTGTGGTAGGACAGATATAAGTAAGCAGACATCAGGAGCTTTATAAACTATCTTGATTCAGAACATTGAGTCACTTTCACTGCTCTTAATTTGGTCAGCAGAAAAATGAGTTTAAGGTGTAGCAATTTGAAAATAATAAATAGAAATAATTTACATGAGCAAGAAATTGAGGCTAAATTGATATTTTTTCTACGATAGTAGTATTTATTTACGTGTCACTGCAAAGCTGTACAATGGACTATTTTATAACCGTCGTTGAGCAGGCGACCCAATTTTGAGTATACGACGACCAATATTCATCTCCGTAGCCTTGCAATTTTGAACCCAATCCAAAAGACAAAGGAACTGCCGGATTACGTATTGCGAGGAGAAATTTGCCTTCGTGGAAGACTACTCGATGGAACTATCTCGCATTTGCGTTACAAAGAGAGGAAACTATGAATACCTCCTAGGGTTATCCTGATGGCAAGAGAACCCATGAACCATAGGGATATTTTACGCCAACACTATGGTCAGTATAAGCCGGGTGTGCAATCGGTATCGACCAGCCATCGCTAGGACTCGAACCCGAGTCCCTTCATTGGGGGATGTGTTCTCTATCCCGTAAGCCACCACCGCTATTGGCTATTGGTGACACTCTGGGAAGAATCTCTGAGGATAATCTGACGATATGCCCACAATTTTGATCCTCATCAGAGAGGGTGGCACTTGCGCTTTGATAGACCGACGACCAGCAAGCTAGACATCGAGCAGTAGAGCAGTTTAGCGAGAACCGATACCGCGCAATCTCGGTCCCTTTGCAGGCTGATCAAATTGGCCACCTACCTGCTCACTGACACTGACAATGATGTTCGCCTTCAGCAATCTACTGAAAACCATGTCTTACGTTTAGTTCAATGTAAGACTCACTATTCATCTATACAAATAGGGCCTTTACGTATTTTTTATTTATTTTTCATATTATTCATGTGATTTATGTAAATTATATAATTAGTATAAAAATAATTTTTAATTTATGTTTTAATTTCTAATAGCAATATTTTGACAGGTGTTCCGCAATGCAGCCTTCCCAGCCGTGGTGTCACCTAGTTCGAGGAGAGGGCTATTTTCCTAAATGTTGTCCCCATATTGAAAAATGTAAAATAATGAATTATGTTGTGGGGAAAATGAATAATGGTATCCAGAACACAAATAGTGTGATTGGAAAAGTAAAGGAAGAGATTTGCAAGAAAGATAAAAATCGAATGTAAAAACATCCTATAATTTTCTATTACGGAACAAAATCTGTGTTTTTTAAATCATAATCTGGAATCACCTTTATAATGTCATCTAAATTTGTTTTATGCAAATAAATTCATTTATTAAATTTCATAATTTTTGTGTTTTTAATTTTAATTTTTGATAAATCAAAAGGATATCAATTGTATATTCAATATATCAATGTTCACTAAATTATTGATATTATTTTAATTTATAAATATTTTAGTTTTAGATAAACAATCTTGAAAAGGGTCAATTTTCAGGTAGCCTGGATGTTTGGGCATTGGTTGAAATAGTCTCAGACTAGAAATGATCAGAACCTAATTTTGATGAGGATCTGATCCTGATTCTGAAGAGGTTTAAATTTTCAAAGCCTATTTTAATCAACCATTGTCTTAATTTTAATTAAGGAATTTTTTTTAAAAACAATTAGGAGCTTTCCAACAAATATTTATATACTACACCACAATGTAAGCTGCAAATATTTTATTTTTTATCTTAAAACTGTTTTGTAAAAGTGAGATTTAAGGAATACCATTATGAAAGATGAAAATATATCTTATAACATGCCTAAAAATGTACTTACAGGCACACTGCTTATGAAATAACATACAAATAAATTCAATAACATACAAATAAATTCAAAGAATTTTAACTATTGCATTTGCATATTGTATCACATTTTACTTCTTTTTTATAATCCAGGCAGCATATGTGTTATTTTTATTGAAATAACGCATACAATTCAAATCAAGTTACTTCGTAAACTTAAGAAAGTTTTGCTTATTTTTAGAGATTCATTTGAAATTTCTCTAATTGAAATGTCATAAAAATGTTCGAAAATAAATATTCTGATAATAAGAAGAATTTACAAAAAAAAATTTTTTTTTTTAAATGTTATAATTATTCTTTATACACATTTTCTTCCTTCTCTGAATATATCTACTAACATTTGCGTTTCAAGAACCATTACCTAAATTCTTAAAACCATCGTTAAATATTTAACGCCTAATAATTAAGTTTTTATAACTGAAATATTTGCAAAATATTCTTTTAAGAAAAGTGAAAAAATTTCACATTTTTTATTTCTATGTCCTGAAGTATGATTTATAGGAAAAACATGCACCAATAAACTTCTGGCAATAGTTACTTTTTAAACATATAGATATGTTTCATTAAAATTTAACGCGTGAATTAAAATTTAATCCATTTTTACTGGAACTTGTCACGGTATAAAAAATATGATACGCTGTAATTTTTAGAGTGATAACAGTAAAATCATTGACTGATTATAATTGAATAAATCTTAAGGTAAAAATTTCGATATATTATTTTGCGGTAAAAATGGATTTTACAGTAAAATTGGTTTCACGGATGATACACCCTAAGCACCGGTACTTTACACCATTATTTGAAAAGGAATTTTTTTATAGTGTTTAAATAGTACTTTACCTATATATGTGCAGTTTCAAGTCTTGGAGAGTGTTAAACAAAGATATCTCTCAAATTTTTTGAAACGTCAAAATTGTGCAAAATTTAACCATATTATCTAGTTTTTGAAACTTGATATTTCAATTTAAACAGAAACATGGTTCAAGTTAACAACTTATTTGGTTCTAGGAAATTTGAAACTTAGTATAATTTAACTCTGTACCAATTTTTTGAGAGAATATTTAAACAGACATAATTTAAAAGGCGACGATTATCAAGCTAGAACTTTGACAACTTTTGAAATATCGACGAGATTCACTGAAAAATGTGTGGTTAAATGCTGGCAATGTTGCCTTTTTTTATTTTATCACGTGAAGCTTTATTGTTTTTGATGTTCATTTTTTGGAAATTTTATTTAATGCATGTCAATCGTCAAGGTCTTCCATTCGAGCAATAACAGCCCAATCGTGGCTTAGGTAATTTGAGGCATTCAATAATCCCAAAGCCATTGCTGAACTTCAAACTCCCAATTATGAGGTCATCTAAAGCACTGATGTCTCGACACTTTAGCAATTTAACAAAATTTTGCTACTTACTTGCAAATTAAGCGAGTTAACTGCGCAGCCATTAATGACATACGTTAAAACATTTCTGGTAAAATTATCGTAATGTATGGTAATCATATTTCTAAAAAAAAACGTTATCCAAAATATACGGTAATTAAACAATTTAGTAAAGTTTTCGTTCATATGGCAACGGTTTATCGGAAATTTTAGTTTTCAAAATTATAGTTCTTATTACCACACATTTAGTAAAAGATACGAAACTGAAAAGTAAATTTAATCAAATAAATGGCCTTGATGTCATTTTTCAAAAGAATCACAATAAAATTAACACATTTTACTACTTTTACTAAATTATATCACATACAATAAAACCATATTTTATTGAAAATTTTACCAAAATCATTACCACATCACTTTGTTAAAAATATTTGAGTTTTTTGGTGTTTCCATGTAGCAAAAATACAGTAAATTTTACCATATTCTGGTAGTTTTGATCGTACTTTTTTTCAATGCAAAAGTTACAAAGCTGACATATAATTATAAATTCAAACTTTTGAACTTACATTTAAACCTTGCACAAAATCTATTTTTTATTCCATATATCATTTTTTATTCCATATAGCACTCCGTAAGTCAAAAAAGTGTTATAATTAAACAAACATTAAATGCAAAATAGGCCAATGATGAAATAAAAATACCTTTAAAATTTATTAAAAAAGTAATTTCAGTTCAAAATTTAAAATTTTTTTTGGAACAATAAATTAAAACGCTTTTTTCAAAAAAAAATATATATACTTTGAAAAGGCATACGAAAATAATAATAATAATAATAATAAAACACATAGTTATAATCTGTAGTACATACAATTTCATGTCTTGACATACAACATCTTTATTTAAAGACTGACAGTTTTGTTTTCAGAAATAGTTTTGACTTTATTTTTATCTCAATGACATGCGATCAGAAATAATATTTTTATCAATGCTTATTTCATGACATTCATTTACTACTCAGATGTTATTAAATGTGGCAGTTTAGAAAAGATTATTACCACAATATGTTATAATAAATAATCCATAAACATTTTTTTCTGTCATAAATCCCTATTAATTGTCACTCAAAACACGGATATTAAAAGATAAGTGTTGTCTGAATATAAAAAGTCTTTTAATAATGACTAGCAAATATATTTCATTTCTGAAATATATTTTCAACGGTTCTAGAATTTCATAAAAAAATATTTTAATTAAACTCAGATAACTTTTAACTCTTTTTCGAGAAATTTTATTTCATTTTATGAAGAAAAAATAGTAAAAAACTGACTTGGAAAACTCAATTCTATGATAAAGAAAAACAAATCTATATTGTTACCAATCAGCATATATGGATCTTCCTATTAATTAAATTTATTGAAATTATTTTAATCAATTAATTCATAAATTCACATGATCATGCTGTGAAATGCATAATTCATTAAATATGGTTAATTTACTTATAGGAATTAATTTATTGACATTTATCTTATAGATGTTATTTTTAAGTTTTCTTTAATTTTAATCCTTATCAGCAACAGAACACAGCAATAGTTCAGTCGATTACATAGCTTATTTTAAGTATATTTTTAATGATTTGCTTTCGTGCTTGTGAAAGTTCATTCTTGCAAATAAATTCTACACCTTTTTCGATTAGCTAGAGCACTAAAAACTCTACCAATGATTAGTGCTTCATGAAAATGCAAATTTTCATTGTTTTCTGGTCGATACATATTTATCCCCACAGGGTACATATTACCTAGTATCGATACTTCCAGCATTTAGTTTAGAATCAGTACTAAATGAATCTGCAACATAAGTAACAGAAATCAGTAAAACAGTAAAAACACGTAGTCCCATTACGAAAAACACTTTGATGATTGAGGTTTAAGAAAACAGTTTCTTTAAGCAAGTAGATGATAAAAAAAATCTTACACAGACTTTATCTGCATGGCCAAAAGCATCCAGACATCTGCTTAAAGAAGTGGATCTGGCTGGAGAAGCAATTTTGTGTGTGGGGTTTTTCATGACTTTGTCCTAGGTCCCTCAGTTCCTGGGGTTAGTATCATGAATCCTGAGTTATATGTGAACAATGCTCATATCCCAATTTCTGGTAGGGAACATTGAAACATCGAATCTTGCGCAGGCATAGTTTGATGAAATGAGTGGTTAAAAACTGGGCTGGACTTCTCAAAGCCAAAATCCATAGAACTTCAAACCAGATATATTATATTAGATTATATATTACGCAACCAGCCAAATCGATCATCCTTAATTCCAGCACTTTATTCATTTGTGATGGATACCTATGGTCCCCTATCAAAAACTGTCAGAAAATCAGACCTAGACGTGTGCATGTTGCTATCGATGTAAAAGGGAGACCAACAATAATTTATGCCTCGGAATTCATAAAGTTCGTATCTATGGCTTAACAGATACTTTTGACCAGATAGTTTGTGAAAGTCAATTAAATTTTGACAACATTTGAACAATACGGAGAGTTTAAAACTGTTTTGAAGCTCCATACTTGATGGTATACAAGTTTTAATTTGTTTCGGCCTGCTACAGGCGGAATTTATACCAATATTTTATTTCCTTATAAAATTAATTTTGAATCAAACTTTCGATTCGTTTCTGATTAGCTACAGTTCCAGACTTTTTATTGAAGCATTGTGTCTGGTGCCAATATATGCAACAATTGTTCCCGAAATGATTAAAGCAAAACATTTGTCCTTATTATAACTCATCTAAATTTTGATCACTGCCGAGGTTAAAGAGGCAAAAAAAATTTTTTTTTCTCATTATAGCGAAAAATTAGAGTCAGAAAATGTAACGTATGCCGAAATGGATTGGAGGCACTTGAATATTTGCCATATATTGTCTGCTATGTTTTTGGCTGTTCTGAACATTGCGCGTAATGTCTGAGGAGCAGAAAAAAAATAAAGCAGCTATGAGGAGAAAAAAAAATAGTTATGTAGCAAACAAAATAAAATAACTAAGTGGAAAACAAAATAAATAGCTATGCGGGAAACGAAATAAAAGTAAAAAAAAAAACAAAATAAAATATCTATATTTTATCCTTGAAACTGATAACAATCAGTTCGCATATTCAAATACATACTTCATCACTTCTGTGCGTACTGCTGTACAAATATCTGGAATCAGAGCGATTTTACTCTTTTCGTTTATTGTTTTAATGTAAGTATTAACAACAATTTTTGAAAGTGATTGATAACATTATTTTGCAACTTGATGATGGTGATCTATGGTTTTGAGAGTCAAAACAAAGAGCGATTTATGCAATATACGAAATATTAAGAAGCAAATTGTTTTAAATTACAACAATTTTAGAAATTTCTCGGTAAAAATGGTTAAATAACAATTTATTTAATTGTTATTTTGCCATATTCAAACGAAACAGTCAAATAACTGTAAAAGAAATGGTATTCGAACTGATAAATATGAGAAAAAGCGTTTATTAACTGTTTCCACCAAATGCAGTTTAGTAACCAGAATTTTATCTACTTAATGTAGCCACTTAGTACCTTGCCGATTGGTGCACATTATAGCCGAGAGGACTAATCTGTCCGTATTATAACCGACAGAACTGGGATTCGGCAACAGCTTTGACACTACAATGTATCCGACATTCTCTTCTATACATAAAGAGTTTACCAGAGTCCAGGGTCACAAATTTGTGACTCTGGGTTATTAGAATACGATTGTTTCACTCACGCATAGATTGCAGCACCAAAAAGCTGCTAACCTATGACCAATCTCAAGGTATATTTGTTTTTTACTGTTTTGAAACCATGCTAGTTGTGAAGGGTTAAAAAACCGAGTTTTGTATTTATGGTTTTGTAACCATTCTAGTTGTATACGGTTTCAAAACCGTCAAAGCTAAAAATGTTCTTTACCATGAAATTTACGGTAAATTAGATAGACAGACTGTTGCCATATGACTGTTATTTTACCATAATTTTAGAATCCAAATTCTACCCGTGTATTTAAGCGTTTGTGTGTTATTAGTTTTGTAATACCTCGTTCATTTTAATCTACATCATTTTATGCTAGACAATATTTACTTTTTATCTTACATTTCGATTATTGCTTTATTACAATACTGCTCATCGATTTATATCTTATTATAGAACATCAAAAGCCTTGCCAAAATGTTTGAGCTTTTTTTTTATTTCTTAATCTTAGTATCGTAAATCTATAGTGTAATCATATCCCATCTGGATCAATATTACAAAGCACTGAAAAAGATTGTATGGATATTGAAAAATTATTAAATACAAATGTTGACTCAAATACTTATTACAATTATTTTACTACTATTTTTATTAGTTTTTGCAACTCTAACATTCATATAAGTTTGAAGCCTCTAAAAATGTAACACAGACAATTTTTGATTGAAAATTAACCACTCCACGATATTCTTTCATAGCTAGGTGAGTGCAAAGTTTAGTTGTTTTAAATATATAAAGTCTAAAGAATTGGTTTTTCAAAAAACAAAATGAATTTATTTTTTGCAAATTGGTATATTTTTTGTACTGATACAAATTTACTAATAAGTGATACTAATTTAAATGATTAAGTTAATTGAAACATGAAAGTAAAACATTTAAATTTCAAAAATAAGTTTTGAAGAACCTTTTTTTTTCCAACCACAAGTCGTAGTTTTTATTGAATATGCCTAAAGTTTTTCTAATTGTAGCCTGCAGTTTTGAATAAAGTTTCATTTTCAGGATTTTTGTCCTGCAATTATATTTTCTACTATTAAATAATATACACTTTAAATAATTCAAGACTACGAAAATCATTTTTTTAAATTCTGACTTGTTGATATTTTAATTTTGAGTCTATTTTATAAATAAAAAGTGATAATAATTATTATTTTTTTGTCGTGTCTGTGACATAGCCGAATCAAATGTTTCCATTAAGGCTCCTATACTATCAGAGCTGACCTATCAAGTAATATTGGAGCAAAAAAGTTTGCAAATTAACGTTATGTTAGTATTGTGCTTATGTTAGCTCTTTGGAGCAAAAATAGATGATGAGTCGGCCTGTCTAATTCAGGGGCTCTAGTTTCCATGAGTCTTAATTATTGCTTCTGCTTCATAAAGATCAATCAATGACGGCAAGACTCCTATTTCTTTCAGATTAGCACTCATTGCTGGACGCTCAAAGATGCGGCATGGTGTCAGCTGTGCATCTGGGCAGTTTTCACAATTCCTATATACCTTCCTGCCCTCACTGTCGATCTTCATGCCTCTGTGATGATTGGTGCTCAGCCTGGCTATAGTTTTTGTTGTGGATCTATCTGCATTTTTTTTTACAAATCATGCGTTTCGTTGGAATTGATTTTTCTCTTAGTTCAGATTTAGCAATTGCATTTGCATCTTGGATGGAGACGTTACGGTCAGATAATAATTATTAATGAATACTATAAGACAATTTTCATTATAAATAAATGTAAAATTCTAAATCGATTCAAAAATTTTTTTCAATAAGCTCTTGCTTTGCTTTTGCATACTACTGTATACTAATCATATTATATTGCTTATTCTAGTCATAATTCAATTAATATTTATTGTTTACAGTGAAAAAATATTGCCGTTCTGTGTGTTTTCATTGGACATACATTTTGTTTTCATCATATCATATGATTTTTTTGCATACAAAAAAGATATTTGGCAGCCATAAATTAATTAAAGTTACGGCGGTATTTTTTCGTATATAATTTTTTATTCCTTATTAAACTATTTTTATTCCTATTAACGATATATCCTATAACGATATTCCTATTAACGATTTTAGATATATTTAATTATCATCACTTCTTAACATCATCTATTGCATTATTACGCTTTTGGTTTTGATTCTTTTATTAAATTAAAAGCTTTAAATTGAAAGTTTTGCTTCTTTATTATAAAGTAATCGTATGATTTCTTGATAAAAAGAATATATTATTACTTTATAGTAAGAATATAATATTAAAAGAAAATTCTAGAATAATAACTTATTATGTAAAATTTTATGATAAAGACTAATAATTATTTTACGATTATTGAACGGCGATTAAGTTACACTCACTTCTATAATAAAGTTTGTGTAGAACTGTATTCAGACAACGTATGCTTACGTTAATAAATATTATTAAAATTCTAGAACAATATTAAGAATTACTTTATAGCACCATTGTTAAATATTCCCTTTGGTTTCAGTTGCTTCAGTTTGGTTTCGGTTTTATAAATGTTTAACGAGTTTTTAGGTTAACTAAAATTTAATAGGAATTTAAATAAGGAAGTACGTGTCTGAAATTGCATTGATAGCCGATTAAAATTATAAGATTTAAATTTTATTCAAGTGGAATTGGAAGCTACATATGTTAAGTTACATATTGGAAGCTTCATATGAAATCAAATCTGCAATTAAAAATGTTAAGTATTTTTTAATTGATTAAATTTTAATTCTAATTTAAAAACTTGTTTATGGAAAAGCAAGGAAAAAAAAGAGATTGTGAAGCAATCCGAATCAATCAGTCAATACTAATGTGTTACTGGATTTTAATTTCATACAGCACTACAGTTACTAGTTAGAAATAATACTCTTTTACTTTAATATTAGTTGAATGCAATAATAGTTTGAAACCGAAAAAGTTGTACATATTCATAAAAAGCATTTGTTCACAAACAATGCTTTCTTCATTTATTCAAAACTGTTTCCCAATGTTTTAAGCAGTTTTCAATTTATTACTTTTTGTATAGAAATCTAGGAGATTTTCTTGGAGGAAAGCAGCAAGGATGATTTTGACTGCTTCCACAGAAGGAATATTTTTATATTCAAATTATTTTACCGAGTAAATAATGTTTGACAAACTGATTCCACGTAGGGTTAGCGAAATACATAAGTTAGTTTCTTTTTACAAGCAAAGTTTTTTGCAGTGCATATTGAGTGACATGCGGAGCAGAATTTTGCATTTTCTAATGATCACATAAGAGCGTTTCACTTGGATTCAAACATTAAGTCAAATCAGTTGCTTACAGTATTTCTCCAAAAGTTTTTGTCAGTCTAATGCCACTGTAATCTTCAATGGTAAGTATAACAAAATTTCTCTTATGATCGAGACTGATTCCTTGCAATCGCCTGATCAGGAAAGATTTGCTGATGTATGATATTCAGATCAATTTCTTGCCATCACGTGACAAAAGAAAAATACTTTCACTATCATATTACCCATATTTGCTATCCTATACTGTTAAGTTCAGGACCGATTTCTTCTAATCAATTCAGATCAATATTCAGGTCAATTTCTTGCCATCACGTGACAAAAGAAAAATACTTTCACTATCATATTACCCATATTTGCTATCCTATACTGTTAAGTTCAGAACCGATTTCTTCTAATCAATTCAGATCAATATTCAGATCAATTTCTTGCCATCACGTGACAAAAGAAAAATACTTTCACTATCATATTACCCATATTTGCTATCCTATAATGTTAAGTTCAGGACCGATTTCCTCAAATCCCCGGATATAGAGAGATATTTGCACTGTCATACTACATCTTTTTGCTATCTTATGATATTCAGATCGGGAACGATTTCTTGCAACCATCATTTAAATAAAAGATACTTTCAATATCACTATACCCATATTTTCCATAATAACAAATTTATGTGGAATACTTTAACTTTATTTTTAGTTATGTATCGGTGCTCCATCATTCTGCTTTGTCTAGGAATTACATTACTCTTCAAAAACAGCGAAGGTGCAGTCGGTTTTGAGCCTTTAGACACATCAGATGGTATATATGTCTTTTTTTTACTATCATTCATTAAATGCATAGCTTTTTAATGTCTTAAAAGAAAAAAGAAGGTTTGAGAATGTTTGTTTTTTTCGCAAAATATGATTATAGTAAAATAATAAAATTTTTCAAATGCTGAATTTACGTAGTTAAATTATTAAAATTAAATTAAATTATATGTACTATATATTAAACTACAAATGAATTTAAAAATGAATTTAGATGGTGAAAACATATACAATTTTTAAAATGTCGAAATTCGTTTTAGACCATTATAGCTAAAGCAAACTTAACACTTTTACATGGAATAAAATTTTACATGGAATTACTTTGATCACTTTAAAACTATTTGAATTTCGCTTCTACCTCGGTTAGAGGCGAAATCATGATAATTTAGAAATACAGCATTTCCTCTTAGGGCAACATAGCAGGACTCGTTTACTTAAACTAAAAACTAAAAATGATTTTTCTCATCATTTCATCAACTTTTAAATAAAATATCTTAAAAGCTAATTTACTTGATTTGAATAAATGGTCTCAACATATAATTTTAGGAAATACATTACGCACTGACTGATTAAACTATTTTTTTAATAATTGTAATTGTATTTAGACACTGAGAAAAACATTTGGACTGAACTACCCGAATATGATAAAATTTACCATGTTTCTGATTCCATGGGAATAAATGTGCGGTAATTTTTACCGGCGCGCTTTGGTGATGATTTTGGTAAAACTAACGATAAAATATTGTTTTAAAATATAATGTCAAAAGTGGGAAATTTGGTAAAATGTGATAATTTATCACGATACCTTAAAGTATGGCATAAAAACCCTTCAGTCGTTTAAAATTGTCTTTCAGTTCTGTATTTTTTACTAAATGTGTAGTCATAAAAAATATAACTCTAAAAACCAGATAATGTATAATTAATAAATGTAACTTTGAAGCTCATTTGGTTATTTAATTATTGTAGAAATTAGCTGCTATATCACTCTGTTCTGCCTAGATTTCGGTTTCTCTTTATAAGCATTGTAATTTCAATTTTATTTTAGGTAACTGCCATTCTGACACGTTTGGGACAATCAAGGTAGGCGAGACTGGTTATGCGGATGATTGCGTCCGAGGATTTTGTAGCGAGAGAGGTGTCAGTATAGCAACGTAAGTAAATGCGCATCCTTTACACAAATATACGCAAACATTCAGTAAATACTTTTAAATAAGAAGTTCGAAGGCTTCTAAGTGGAAAATGTGAGGGTTATAAAATTAATTTTAACGAAAACAGCATGCAAGTATTTTTATCAGCTAACATGTTAGCAGAATGCAAGCTATTTTCAAGGTTGATTTAAGTTAATAAAGTGTTCCATAATCATTACTTTTAATAAGTCTTTGCGAAAAAGGAAGACACAAAAAATCAACATTTTAAAATGCATTTTTTACGCATGCCGGAATTGTTATCTAAAGAGAAAAAAATAACCTTATCGAATCCTGACAAGTTATTACGGAAATTATTTAGGAAAATAAGTTGAATTATCAGAAACTAGTTTATATGTCTGATTAATGAAATATATCATTTTCTTAAATAAGCTCAGCTGGGAAAAGTATTTTCTCTCTAGAAAACAGCGCCATGCATCCAGCTCCTCTTAAAAGGGAATTTTTGATCTATAGTATATATAGAGGGGTTGGACGAAATAATAGAAACACTTCTACATTCACACATTTTTTGATAGTTCTCAAAAAATTCTTAGAGAATAATTTTATAAATTTAGAAGTATGTTATTTCACATGGATTTGCACATGAAAAAATGATATAAATTAGCAAAGAAATATTTTTAGTAAATAATTTTAGCCACGGATTTGCCCGAAATGGATTTGCATATGGAAAAATTGTATAAATTAACAAAGAAATTTATTCCACTTATTTAAGAAATTAAGAAATCCATTTCGGGCAAATCCGTGGCTAAAATTATGTGCAAAACAGGCAATTCATGTTTCTTTCTCTTTTCTATTTTAAATTTTTTTTTCTTAAATAAATATTTATTTTCTAAAATTATTTATAATCAACTTCTTTAAATTATCCAGTATAATATTACCCTGCGCACATCCATTTTCGGGCCCATCCTTGGTAACTAACAAATCAAACGCACTTCAGTAATGCAGTAAGAACGCTCTTTAAAACAAAACTCTTCTAGTTACGCCTCTATCTCAATTTGCGCTTTTGTTTTCATATTTTGCAATCTGGCAATCATGTTACGAAAATATTTTAAGTCATTCTTGAAAAATTTCCCGTTCATGTAAGTTCATTTGATTTCGCTAGTCGCTTAATAGATTATGTTTTATTCTGTTTTTCTTTACATTTTATTTTCTGTTTTTACGTGTTAATTTTACTTATTGTATTCTATTTTATTTGTTGTAATTTTTGCACAAATTTTCTGAGTTCTCCTCACACTATTGTATTGATATATTTTTTGCTTAGGCTATATTGATGCAATATTACAAAGCACTCTTTTTTGCGGATATAATCGTGTGGACTGATGAAAAGATTATATCTTTTGTTTTCCGGATTTTTAAAAAAGAATTCTATCCTTTTTTTCGGATTTTTTCCCCCAGTTTTTGTTATTTTTATTATTATTTCTCTTTTCCCCTCTTTTTTCATTAATCTGCAATTTTGCTTTGTTTTATCTTCATTTTGAACTTATTTTATGAGTTCTATTTACTCGCAGGTTATGCGCAATAAATGAAACTTATTGTTTTTCTTAATTTTCTTCGTGTTCCTTTTTGTATTTATTTATTATGTTATCTCTCTCTCTCTCTCTCTCTCTCTCTCTCTCTCTCTCTCTCTCTCTCTATATATATATCTCTCTCTCTCTCTCTCTCTCTCTCTCTCTCTCTCTCTCTCTCTCTCTCTCTCTCTCTCTCTCTCTCTCTCTCTCTCTCTCTCTCTCTCTCTCTCTCTCTCTCTCTCTCTCTCTCTCTCTCTCTCTCTCTC